GAGACAATGCTCCCTAGATAAGTGAATGAAGTAACCTCTTTCAAATCCTCACCCCCGTTGATGGTGACCGGCGCTCGATGTTGTTGTTGCTGGTTGGCTATTTTCATAACCTCCGTCTTGTCTATGTTCACCTGGAGTCCTGTCTTTGCTGCTTCTTCGACCAGTCTGCAGTAATCTGTTGGAAAGTACTTTCTTGACGCGTTAATTCTCCGAACCGTATAGAATAACTGACTTGATATCATTGCTGAAGAACTAGATCTTGTTCTTTTAGATGAATGAGTGCAGTAGGTTGCCACACTGATTACAGAGAAATAAATAACAGTCTGACTAGATTTTCCTATTCTGGCTAGCTTTGACATTTTCATCTGTGCCACCTTTAGTTGAAACGATGCTCCCTAATTAAATGATATTCAATACTGCTTTATAAAAATGTGTTCGACAAATAAACACTTTACAGATACCGGAAAACTTTAATGTCTTAATGACAGCTCTTTTATCACATTTAGATAGATTTTGATGTGGTTAGATAGATAATTTGCGAAGCTTTCATCGCGCTTATGTTCGTATCCATGAACATAAGCTAGCCGTCAAAAGACATGATATCCACTCCCTCATATCACTACATACAGAAAACCACGGACATCAATTCGATTGGGACAACCAACGTTCAAATATTAGACAGAGGAAACAACAAGAATGCTAGGGAATTTTTAGAAGCCAGCGTGGTATTCCAGTGAATCATCAATCAATAGACACATCGAAATAGACAAAATTGATCAACCGATAAGAAAGAAACCTTGCACACAAAGGGTCAAAGTTCAAGTCAAAGAAACAATCAGTTCCAATACAAGTAACCTAGAAGGTGTGAAAACACAAAAACAACCAGTCACGTCCACGGTCACCCGGAGAGATGATTGATAAACTCGTGGAGAAATCTGAAAGCTCATTTCAATTCAAATTGAAGTATGCGCTGAAGATGCTTGTTGCCTAGTAGGGCGATGAAAGCTTCACAAGTTAACTATCCAGCTCAGAGAACACAACCACATCAAAATCATCTACCTGAGCTACAAATCATCTCCATCATATCCACATTTAGATAGAATTTTTAAATTCAAAATAAATATTATTGTCATTTTTCATAAACTCATACACGACATGAAACCAATGGCCTGATGTTGTTTGATTGAACGACTAGAATTTCAAAGAACAGTTTTCACCCTCTTATTGGACTAAAAGTATTCACCATTATTTTGATCCAAGTGCATATAGAACTTCACGACATGTGACAATCAAGAAAACAAATAACACGGCAAGATTTGATTTCGGGTGATCTGAACTGGTTCACCTCTCTGAGCTTCATAACAGCCAGATACATAGGTCGTTCGTTATACACGTGTCCTTTCAAAACTTGTTAGACAACTCTATCTAGCATGATTGCAAAGAGGCGGAGATGGTTCACTCTAATGTGCTGTAACTGTACACCACCTTAGCACCTGTCACAGCATCTCAACTGATTTGCAAAGTGAACAAAAATCTACCCAAAGCAATGTGTTTCTGACTTCTCTGTACTGTGGAAGCCCTCGTTGTATGCTTCGAGAAACCGCAACTGGTGAACCACTGGGGCACTGTAAGATTTCATATCAAGTTGAAAATTATTATCTTCTTTAATTTCCTTCGTTATTATGATGGATTTTAGTAGTATCTGCAATTGTACGAACTTATTTATACGAATGTGGTTTCAAAATCTTTAAGGATGAAATAGCTGGAAAAGATATCTTTGCTGAACTTTTTGTTCTTCTCAACTAATGGTCTGATGGTTATTTTCTACAATTTAAAGTTCTTTTTAGGCACTGATCACGAACATTCACTAATCAGCATACATCATCATTCATTTTTACCTAATTTGATATCTGATTATCACTTATTATGTTAACACAGTTTTTGAAACAATACTCTAGTAATAACTAACTCACATGCAACTAGTTCTCATGTATTATTATTATTATTATTGTACCCTTGGGTTCCTAGTGGAACACAGGGCCTCAACTGCACGCCTCCACTTGTTTCTGTCTTCTGCTGTACTTTCCACTTGCATCCATGTTAGTCCATACTGTTTCAACTTCTCTTCACACAATCTCCTCCATGTCACCCTTGGACGTCTCACTCGCCACTTCCCTTTCGGGTTCCACTCGAGCACTGGCCTGACGCGCGATGTCACCCAGTGGCCTCCTCAGCGAGTGTCCAATCCATCTCAACATTCTCCTGTATATTTGTTGGGCGATTGGTTCTTGCTTTGTTTGTTCCCATAGTTTCTTGTTGGTGATTCTTTCCGACCATCTGATCTTCAGTATAGAGCGACGAAGACAGTTGTTGATAAAGGTCTGCAACAGGTTGTTGGAAATATTCTTTGTGACACACTGGCCAAGTTTCTGATCCGTATAGAAGAACTGACCGACTTGACGTTTGTAGTGAAAATCCGAATTTTGTTGTTGATGCTGAGTGACGAAGATTTCCAGATTGGTTTCAGGTTGATGAATGTGTTTGTCACCTTCCCGATTCTTGATTTGACATCCTCGTCCGTTCCTCCTGTAGTTGAGACAATGCTCCCTAGATAAGTGAATGAAGCAACCTCTTTCAAATCCCTCTCGTTGATGGCGACTGGAGCTGGATGTTGCTGCTGTTGTTGTTGTTGGTTGGTTAATTTCATAAGCTCCGTCTTGTCTATGTTCACCTGGAGTCCTGTCTTTGCTGCTTCTTCGACCAGTTTGTCGGTTTTCGCTTGTAAGTCTTCGATTTTGTGTGACATCAAAGATAAATCATCCACGCGCGAAATCCAGATCTTCTAGGTTCTTCACGTCGGTCCAGGATATCCCTGTCTCCTCGTTTCCCACTGTCTGACGCATAATCCAGTCCACCACAATTAGGAATATCATTGGTGATAATAAGCACTCTTGTTTGACACCTGTGATTACTCCAAACGCCTCGCTGAGTTTTCCGTTGTGGATCGCTTGACATGTGCCGCTGTCGTACAGCTGTTGAATAAGGTTGATGAATATTTGGAGTACGCCGTAGTACTCGAGTAGTTTCCAAATTACTTCGCAGTCAACGCTGTCGAAGGCCTTCTCAAAGTCTATGAAGTTGAGGTAGAGATTTGATTGCCATTCCATACTTTGTTCGATTATGATGCGTAGAGTTGCAATTTGGTCAGAACATGATTTGCCTTTCCTGAATCCAGCTTGTTCTGGTCGGAGATCTGTATCCAGTGCGTCCTTGATTCTCTCCAGGATGATGCGACTCAGGATTTTACTTATCGTCGACAGGAGCATGATTCCTCGTCAGTTCTTGCAGAGTCCCAGGTCGCCCTTCTTTGGTAGTTTCACTAGATAACCTTTCCTCCAGTCAGTAGGCACTTTTCCTTCTTTCCAGATCTTTTGCAATAATGGAGTCAGCATATCTGCTGTCGTCTCTGGGTCCGCTTTCAGTGCTTCTGGGGGTATTCCATCTGGTCCAGCTGCTTTTCCAGCTTTCAGAAGCTTGATTGCATTCAAGACTTCAGTTTTCGTTGGAGGATTGGTGTCAACTTGCAGTTGTGCACGTGCTGTTGTTGGTATTACTGGACGGGTTGTAGGTGGTGGTCGATTCAAGAGTCCTTTGAAGTGATCCGCCCATTGTTTAATCTGTCTTTCTTCCTTGGTAATCGGGTTCCCTCGGCTGTCTCTCTCAAATTCTTTAACCGTGATCAATCAGTTTTATAAAACACATCAACCTTGAGAATAACAATTATTTCTTAACTAATTCTCGGCATTAAACTGTAGAATTGGAAGGCGTTATCAAAATGAATATTCTTAATCACTCGTCTTCGGGTTGGTTAGCAGCGTAAAGCATTATCGGAGAGTCCTTCTTAGAAGCCAATAAGTCGACAAAGACTGAGCATTTCGGTGAGACGTAATGAATCTTCAGGAAATTCAAGATAACTTCAATAACTAATATGGTTTTCTCATTAATTAGTATTTTCAGCAGATTCGTTTCATTTTTATTTCCATTTAAACATAATATTCACCTTGGAAGAAAACGCCTGGTGTCAACGAACTATTCCATCGTATTCTATCATACACCTAGTCTTTTCAAATAAAGTAAATCACTAAGGTTCTGAATAATGAACAAATCCCTGGTTCATAAATTCAGAGGCTGACATATTGCTTCAAACTTTGTAGATCCCATGAGGAACCTAAAGTAATCAATAATTCGGATATTGTTCTTGTAGGAATTCAACGTCTTAATTTAGATTTGATCAGTGACCGACATCTACTAGAGAACCTCTCAAAACCAGGAGAAACTGGTAAGGTGATTCATCCGGAAGCTTCACACTGACAGCCAGTCCCTTTAGTGTTTACCAATTCGAATAACACTTATTGGCTTATGAATTCTGACTCTTGTGAAATAGCGCACCACTGCTCAGACACTGCTATCAAAGAGAAAATTCAAACTGAAGTTTGCACAGAAAATATTGTCTAAACAGACAATAGAGGCTTCGTAATGACACCATCTAGTTCGGAGATCACAAAGATGTCAAAACCGAGGCACTTGCGCTACAAATTTCAAAATGCTATGGGTGGAATACGCTTCTATCAGTTCGAAATTGGAAGGACTTCGAGAAAAGGCAGGCATCTGAAGCAGTTTATCTGAATTCTTTCTTTATGAATATCTTCATGCCCGATTTGACGGATCTACTGTTGATGTATCACGCATCCTAAGATAGAAAAAAGGAAGAACAATTTCTGATTGTCTACGTAATTAGTTACCTGTCAAACTTCAAAACTGGAATACTGATGGATACAAGTATTTGAAAGAAAGGAATGTTGAAAAGAATATTACACCTTTGATTTCTATTTAAGTTCGTGTTTATTATTATTATAACCAGCATTTCTTTGAAACTCGTCAACAATAACAATGATAACGACAGTTTTCAATGAAACACAACAATCTTTCTGCTTTCTTTGTTAAGAATTTCCACTGTTTTCAATCACATCGTTGTTCACTTCATTTTCTAATAAATCAGCATTCAATGAACTAATCCACTGATTTAAAACACCACTAGAGTCGATTAAACGTCTAATACTATCACGTGATAAAGTTTTATTACACATTGGACACACTGGATTTGAACAATTTTCGACATATCTAAAAAAAGAGGATATAAATTCAACAATATAAGTAACATAAGTATATATTTATACGGACCTACAATAAATGACCTTTGTACTAAGCCTCTCAAGGGAATTGACGGATCAACATTAGATGTTTTCAGGCACAATTTATGGATCATAGAAGGATGACGGAAGCTTTACAATTAAATCAACCAGCTCAGAGAAAAACCAGCTCAAAAACCTGAACTACAAATCTTCTCCATTACTTGATCCAAAAGGATGTCAGTTTCCTCCTAGTGTATTTATTTAGAGATTTGACATTATTACTTCCACTTCATTGCTTAACCACTTCCCAATTTATACCTCACTGTAGTGATATGATGCATGTTAATGTGTAGCAACCAGTGATTTGGTTATTGTCTAGTGTGTTTATGAATAAATAACTATTATTTATTTGATTGCATGGAGGATTTCATCATGAGCTGACAACAGTTAGAGAACCATTGGAAAACCTGGGAGTACTGGACAGCTGTTTCGTCCTAGTTTGGGACTCTTCATCAGTACGCACCCACCGCCAGGGTTCGGATCCAGGACCTTCTGGTCACAAGGCAAGCTCGTAGACCATTGAGCCACTGGGACTCGATCCAATGGTCCTTGAATTCTAACTTCTGCCAATTCACGACATAGCGCGACCATTTCGCAATATCTTGTTGGATGAGTTACTGCCTCATCTTCAGCCTGCTGTACCCTACTGGTCACGGCTTCTTTGACACAGTTATACATGATGTAATCTACAGTCAAGATTATTGATAAAACTGGTGTGAATAGCTGATTGACTGTATTTGCACTGATTCATACAATATCACTGAATTAAATCTCAAAGGAACTCACCTCATTAGTTCGCTGTACAGTGTAGGAAACTGGCATCCAGGACATACGGCAAAATCATTTTTAACAACGTGATAACCCTAAAAATATTTAGAAAATGTTACGACAGTGAATAAAATTCCAATCAGACACAAACACAATTAATAAGTGAAATCAAATGAATCATGATGCTCAAACATTAAGAGTGGGAAATATTCCCATATCATAAGTTAAAAGTCGATCTAAACGAAGATTACTCTTTTCAATAAATTCTCTTCAGGTTCTTACACATAATTGGAGCTCTTGCAAGGAAGTAGACTTCGTATTCAAAAACAACACGTTCAGACGCTGTTCCTACTGTGGCCAGACTTGGATTAAAATTTCTTTTCTCATTGTTAGAATTTATTATTAGAATAATTTATTATAATTTATAACCTTCATTCAAACATTCTTCCAATATTATGTAATTTTCCATTTATACTATTCGGACTTATCATTAGTGATATTATCTCTTTTCTCAATATATATGCCTCCACCTGGATATCGGTAGCCCAAATTTTGCAGGCTGACCATAGATATCGGGTGTGCGTCGGCAGGGGATCAAACCCCGAACTATGTGCATGGTCGGCGAGAGTCCTAACTACTGTGCCACCTACGCTGAGCCAGAAATAATGCTGGTAAAGAGGAATGTTGGCATGAGGCTAGCAACCATTCTGTAAAATAAACACTGCTACAGAAACTTCAAGTCTCTAGCTTGAATGCCTCCACCTGGTTCATTCCACATATTGGTTGTTTCATGATGAGCTTCTCATTGCAGTCTTACTATCTCCTCTTTAATGCACACTAATTTGTTACTAGCTACTCATCTGACACCTTTTATAACAATTAATAGTGTTCTCTGAGCTGGTTGGTTTAGTTGCGAAGCTTTCGTCGTCCTTCTGGACAACATCTTCAGCGCAATATTTAGCATAAAGTGAAATGATTTAAATTTCTTCATGAGTGATATAATTGCGTCTCCTGGTAACCATCTTTACATATGTATTGACCATTTTCTATTGACTTGGATTTTAAACTTTCTGGTCAGCTGATTTACTTTTTATTAGTTGGTATATTTCATCTATATTAACGTGTTTGTTAATTGCATTTTAGTTTGAGTACTAGGCTTCTAGGAATTCTCTGGCACTTTTGGTGTTTCCTCTGTCTAAGATTTTGACATTATCCCAATCAAATTGATGACCATAACTGTCTATATGCATTGATACTAAAGAATACATATCGTGTCTTTTCACGGCTGATTTGTGTTCTTGGATTCTAATTCGAAGGGGACGCCCACTTTGGCCGATGTAATGCTTGTTACAGTTCATACAATTTATTTTGTAAATGCTATTAATTTTATGTCCTTTTTCTGTTGGATCTTTCGGTTTGCATAATATCGAATTAAGCGATTTGAGTGGCTTGTGTGCTATATCTATATCAAACGGTTTCAGTATTCTAGCTGTTATTTCAGAGATATTTCTCATGTATGGTAGGATGAATTTTCTTGTGGTCTTTGATGATGGTTTCTTGTTGGTGTTTTGATTCGACTTTAAACACTTTTTGATGAAATTTTGTGGATAACCCCATTCTTTTTGAAGACCGTTTGTAGGTACTTTTCTTCCATTCTTTTCAACTCTGGAGTGCTACAATGTGTTTGAACTCTTTTAAACAATGTCTGCACACAGTTTCATTTGTGAGTAATTGGATTATTGCTAGTATAGTTGAGTATTTGATCTGTGTGCGTTGATTTTCTATATACTTGTGTTTCTAAATTTCCTGTGTTGGTTCTCCTGATTAAGACATCTAAAAATGGGATTTTGTTATTTTATAACCCTTGAATTGACTCGTCGATTTCTCTTCACCACATTGCTTGAATCTACTATGACTAATCACAATTACTGTCTCGCGTTTCACAAAATTCTGCATTTGAATTCAGACCAGCACATTTGTCACACGGATATTATTTATTTTGTCACCCTTTAACTACTAATCTGTTATTCTGTGCAAAATGTAACTGGTCATTATTGTAACGATATTTTATAACTGTAAGAACCTAAAGAAGACCATTCATTGGAAAGAATATTCTTCGTTCAGACTGACACTCAAATTTACCATTTAGTGTATAGTAGACACTTGTGTAGGATTAACTAATACGTCATGAACCGGTGGAGTCCAGTAACACTGCTACTTTTTACATCAGTGGTATTTTAAAATAAAATCAACGAATCACTTATTTCTAAAGTGAAGTATCCTTTCCAGTCCCTGACAATTCGGGTGGAAGACAACTGAATATCTTGATGGGTGTTCGCATTTATTATTCTTATTCATCCTGAGTAGGGTATAGGACTTCAGTAGAACATCTCGACTGTGCTTCGTTCTCTGAAATCACATTCACGTGGATCCACCTGACCTCCCTCATATCAGTACTTTTGATACAATGTGGAATTTTCAGCATGTAATACAATATGGCATCTGATTTTCTCTTCAAATAGTACAGAGGGGAGTAATTAGACAGAGCATTTATACTGATAATACTATTCAAAAGAATATGAACATAAAATTTAAATTTAAGTGGAAACATTAACAGCATTATATTAATGGAAGAAAGAATAAAAAGTACCACTTACTTGGTGTTTCTCAATAAATTAGTAGTGCCATCCCTTACCCTTCCCTCATCACATAAAATGTGTGCTAAATAATGTATCGTAGTGCTTTATAATTGGTCGTCCGAGCATAAAGTCTTTTATAATTGCTCCTAATCCTACTTGATGATATGAAAGGGGCGATTTTAAATAGAAAGAGTGAACAGTGTTCAACAAGACGATATTTTCCATTTTCTTACATGAGTTCAAGTGTCTATCCATGACAGTATTAACGAGTTTGTTTATTGACATCCCACTCGCCTTACCGATACCTTTTAGTCTTTCTTAATTAGCCCAGGAAAGATTGAGTGGCAGCAGTAAGGAAGAATAGGTAGGATATATGAATCAAAAAACTCTAAAAGTAGAGACTGAATGATACTAGACTGTCTGAATTTCCTTACGTAGAACGCTAAGCCAAATATCTTTCTGGAAACTATCACGATGTAGGAAGACCAGGAAAGATCAGAGGAAACACGCACTTCAAGGTATTCAACATTTGACTTAGTTTCACTTTCAGTGCTATTTGAAAATCTAATCAACCTGTTTCCACACCAACTTCAACTCCTACTGTATATATTCAGTAATACACTCGGCTGGTTCACTGAAAGGTTTTCTCATTGTTTATTCTGTCTATCCCATTTGCAGTAACGACTCAGCGAACACAGTTGCTGATAAAAGTCTGAAGCCTGTCGGAAATTATTTTAGCGACGCATGCACCAAGTCTCTGAACAACATAGAAGTATTAACTTGGCATGAGTGTTACAAAGAATTCGGATCTTGTTCTCTGTGTTAAATTCTGTGAGTCTTCACGGTGATTTCAGGGTAATGAAAGCCTGTCTATCTTGTTTTCCCGACTTTGATTGGTTTTGACATACTCATTCATGCCGTCTGTGGTTGAAACAATTCTTCCTGTTCAAGTAAGTGAAAGAGACGGATTTGTTTAGATTTCCCCTATTGATTGATGGTGACTGGCATTTGTTGGTGCCTAAGCCGCTTCATCACTTCTATCCTCTCTATGTTTACATAAATTTCAGATCTTATAGAGTCTTTTCGGAAGTCCTTCTTCTTATTCTCAACCATGCCGCACCATCCACTTCACCATACTCAGGGGGATCATCAGTTTTATAGTAGGCGACTTTATCTTATTTCCTTTTGTAGTGATATAAATAAATTCAACCCAGGTGGCACCATCTCAGTATTCCGCACCATTACAGTTAAACATTTTTGTTTGAATTATACCTTCTCCAGTTCCATATTAATTTGTTTATTCTATATATTACACAGTGAAACGGTATTATCCAATAAAATAAATAATACGTAATTGCGAACTACCATAGTATTCAAGATTTACACATATATAAATTTCCTAGACTCTGTTAGTGACGTTTGCCAGGCACATGAGAGGGACTATGTGAGCAAATCGAGTGTTGGATTTTAATCAAGACAGATGGTTAGTTTAAACGTGTTGACAGAAATTACTTGATTAAGTTTTCATTTAGCTATGAGATACGGATTTTATACTTGCACTCTTTCGACCGTCACATACGCAAATGATAAATGCTTGATTTTCTACACAATAATTATCTTTAAATTTACAGATGGTAAAATCATTTCTTCGGGCAAACTTTACCACATATTCAGTTACATCATTTAGGATTCTCATTATTATTATTATTGTTTCCTTTAATTCCTAGACGAACATATGGCTACATCCGCACGTCTCCATTGCGTTCGGTTCTCTGCCAACGTTCTCACCTGCCTCCACGTCTGCCCACAGGCTTTCATCTCCTCCTCACATCATCTCCTCCATGTCACCCTCACACTGACGACCAACTCGCCGCTTCCCTTTCGGGTTCCACTCGAGCATTGGCTTGTCTAGTGATGTCACTTGATGGTTTCCTCAGAGTATGGCCAATCCATCTCCATTTCTTCCTGCATATTTGTTGCACAATCGGTTCCTGGTTGTTGGCTCCCAGAGATCTCTGTTGCTGATCTTTTCTGTCCGGCCATCTGATCTAGAGTGGTATTGAGCGAAGACAGCTGTTAATGAAGGTTTGTAGTTTGCTTGAGGTGCTCTTTATGACGCGCCAAGTCTCTGATCCGTATAGTGAGTAGCACTGACTTCACATTGGAGTTGAAAATCCGGATCTTATTTTTCATGCTGAGTGCTGTTGACCTCCACACAGACTTGAGAGTAGTGAAAGCTTGCCTTGCTTTCCCAATCCTCACTTTGATATCCTCGTCAGTTCCGCCTGTAGTTGAAACGATGCTTCCCAGGTCGGTAGGTGAAGGAGGTTGTTTCTTTCAGATTCCTCCCAGTTATGCTGATTGTTGTCTGTTGTTGTTGCTGTTTGTGGTGTTACCCAGGAATCTTCATCACCTCTGTTTTCTATATGTTCACCAGAAGTCCTATCTTTGATGCTTCTTCTGCCAACTTGTTGCTTTTCGTCTGCATATCTTCCAGTTTGTGGCAAATCAGACATATATCATCGGCGAAGTCCAGATCCTCCAAGTTTTTTGTGTGGGTCCATTTTATGCCTGTTTCCTCGTTGCCCGCTGTCTGTCGCATTATTCAGTCTACCGCAATCAGGAAAATCATTGGAGATAGTAGGCAGCCAGCTTGCCTTACTCCCGTCTTCACTTCGAAGGAGTTTCCTTATGAACAAGACTAATTATTTGCAAGTGTTGAATAATAGTCATTTCAGTGATTTCAAGGTAGATTCAGTCACGATGGTAAACCGAAGCTTTTTGTGTTCGTGTGCGTGTGCGTATTACTTAAGAGCTCAAAACTTGGATGGACCAGTCATCCAATAATCTCTGCTTTTCAGTGTTTCTCTAACTGATGACGGTTTGTGACTGAGTCAGAAGTTGGTTACCTCTCAAAAAATGATGTAAAATTTTTTGTAAAATCCTGAAATATCATTTTAAACAACCTTTTTAAATAGATTATGCATAAACTCACTGTAATCACACAATATGGTATAGTATTTCGACATTCAGTACAGTATAAACTAGTCTCCAATAACGGAGATCCACACGATGGACATGGTGTAGACGTTTCAACTGTAGGACTACTAGTTGACTGGTTTAATGAATTATTCAACTGATCCCCGCCTCCATCCGATTTTAAATCACGTCTACGTACAAGCGTTTCAAATTTACGGTGATATTTAACATCTAGTTTATCACGATATTCTGGACGTAATAGCATTGCAGCATAACTAAAACTGGCTGATTTCAAACCAGCTTTTTGACATTCAATCACAGTACTTGTGAGAATAGGGACAACATCTGTAAAATGCGAGAAAATGTTTTATTTTTAGAATTTCAGTCAAACCACTATAGTTTGGTGAAACTATTTATGTTCAAGAAGGCCTTATTATAATTAACATACTTTATATAAAGTAGAAAATTATTGAACAATATATCATAAGGAACATTATGCATAATATCAACATGAATAACACCAAACTGTGGTAGCACATTCTTTCCCTTCCGAAAATGTGAGCAAGGAGATGTCACAATAGGTTGTCTATACCCGAACTATCGATATGATAAGATTACTTACTGTTCAACAGGAAGGACGCAATCATCATAGGTGTACTAATGGACTTAACCTTAACTCACTTCAGAGACTCAGGGATTGACTTGCTACCAGGGAATAATAGCCCTGTTGACTTAGAATATGCAGACGATATAGTCCTTCTAGGCGAGGACGCTGACAAAATGCAGAGTCTTCTGAACACCTTGAGCTGCAGCCTGCGAATATTTGGCATGCGATTCGCTCCCGCCAAATGTAAGATGATGTTACAGGACTGGACTACACCGACTCCTAGTTTAGAAATAGGGAGTGAAGTGGTAGAGCACGTTGACCGCTTCACTTATTTGGGAAGTACCATCAGCCCCAACGGGTTGATCTCTGACGAAATCTCAGCACGGATACACATGGCTAGTTTCACATATGCCAGTTTACGCCGTCTCTGGCGTAGATGTCATATCCGGCTATCGACCAAAAGGGCGTGTGTACTGCTCAGCAGTCCGCTCCGTCCTCCTTTATGGCTGTGAGACTTGGCCATTGAGAGTGGAAGACATGAGAAGGCCAGCTATCTGTCTTTGATCATAGGTGCCTGTGTTCTATCTCCCGTGTGAAATGGTATAAGAGGGTGAGAAATATTGAGGTTAGGCACGGGTCGAGTGCTGGGTAAGGAGGGGAAATCAATCGACGAGGCTGTGAAGTTACATCGACTGAGATGGTTAGGACATGTGTTACGCATGCCTAGCCATCGCCTTCCTCGACAACGGGCAATGTTAGCTGACATAGGGTCAGGCTGGAAAAGAATTAGCGGCGGTCAAATCAAAACATGGCACCAGTCAATGATATCCACATCAGTTAGTTTAAGCCAGCCACGTAGGAAGGTGTAGACTTCCTGGTTGTGGTCCTCGGGACGGTAAACACCAATGGCTGGAAACAATTTGTGATATGGCTCAAAATCGTTCTCAATGGCTGGTGCAGGTACATCCATTCCTTGTGACTTATGATATCCAATGAAACTATATTGTTCTTCGTTATTACTACTCCTTTGTCTCACACCTCAAATTACTGTCTCTATTATGCATTGCTTCTCTTACTTTGTGTGCTACATGGAGTGTGGTGACTTGAACTACCGTACATCGGTGTAAAGTTCTATGTCGAATACAGACAGATAGACAGATACAGTCATTGAAACAAACTTTGACGTTAGATATATTGATAATGACACTTTTATTGCAATGATGGATTTGATGCGAAATGTTTGCTTAAAAACCACATAAAACGCCTTGCCTAAACATGAAAAATGAAGGTTTTCACATTGCTTCATACTAATTTGCAAGTAATAAATATTTTAAGGTAGAAATATTTTAAAGGCCTACAAGTAAACTTCGGATAAAGTTCCTAAGATATCAAGAAGGGCACCCAAAAACCATGAACTAACATATAATAGAATTCATGGGTCATTGAATTTCAACGAAGTGATTGGGTCGTTAAAGGTATCACCTCGTAATCTGAATGTTCCGGTTTCGATCCTAGGTGGGGTCGCAGGTGCGGGATACTGAAAAGTCCCAAACTAGAACGAAACAGCTTTCTGGTTCTCCCTGGTTTTCAGTGCTTGCGTAACTAATGTTAATCCATAATTAAACTCGAAATCGATCGCAAGCAGCATTTTCCTACTATTTCCATTTTATCTTGTATCTTTTGGTATTATAACTATTATATTATTGTTCCCTTAGGTTCCGAATGGAAAATAAGGCTCAACAGTACATCTCCATTTTTTTCCTGTTCTCTTCGGCCCTCTTCACCTAGTTCCACTTTTGGCCATAAGCTTTCATTCAGCCCTTATACGATCTCCTCCATATCACCCTAAAACACCCATCTCGTCATTTCCACTTCAGGCTCAACTGAAGAGCCCACGTGACACGTGAAGTAACTCAGTGGTCTCAAAGTGTGTTCAGTCCACCTCCATTTCCTTTGACATATTTGTAGGGCAGTAAGTTCTTGATTGGTTCGTTCCCAGGGGTAACCGTTACTTATTCTTTATGGCTATCTGATTTTCTTTATGGAGTGACTAGAGCAGATATTGATTAAATTCTGTAGCCTGTTGAAAATGATTTTCGTGGCGCACCAAGTTTATAACCCATATAAAAGAACTAAATTAACATTGGTGTTGAAAGTCTGAATTTTGTTCTCTATCCTGAGTGTAGCAGATTTCTACAATGATTTCGGAATGATGAAAGTCTGCCTTGCCTAGCCAATTCTGAATTTGACATCCCCATCTGTTCTGCCTGTAGCTGAAACGGTGCTGCCTAGATTAGTGAAAGAAGTGATTTCCTTCAAATGACTCCCGTTGATAGTGATTGGTGCTTCTTGTCGTTGGTTAGACGCCTTAATCACCACTATATTCACTGAATCTCCTGCCTTCTCTGTCTCTCCTGCCAGTTTGTTGGTTTTCGCTTGTAAGTATTCCAGTCTGTGTGACATCACATCAGATATAAGTCGTCCATGAAGTCAAGATATTCTAAAGTTCTCTTGTTGGTCTAACATACTGCCGTTCACCACAGTATGCCAAATTACCAAGTCCACCACACCTAGGAATACCATTACTGACGGTAGGCACCCTTATTTTACTCCCGTCTTCACTTCAAAAGCTTCACTGAGTTTCGTATTGTGGATCGCTTGACATGTAGTATTGTCACGTAGCTTTGAACGACATTAATGAAGATTGGAGGCACTCTGTAGTGTTGAAGTAGTTCCCTAATTACTTCGATATCAACGCTTTCGAAAGCCTTTCCAAATAGTAGCATCATCTTCTTAACCAAACTTTTGTTAACTCTGTTTACCTATTACATTATTTGTCCCGTTGATACCCAACTTTCTTAACAGTTTTTCTCGTATTCCCCAACCTGCACCCTTAACTCACTAATCCTTACAACCTTGGTTACATTTCAATTTACGTCTCTGAAAAGACCTATCTTTGAGTCTGCATCGAGACTGTTATTATCCTCCAGTCCAATGCTCTCTAATAACCCGAAAGACAAACTTTAGCATTTGACCACCTCCATGCGTATCTACTAATTCTCTAGTTCCTGTGGAGTGAGGTATGTTCAAGTCGTTCAGTGAGTGCTTTATCTAAACAAAAGTTTTAAAAAAATTTTCAATTCATTTAAAAAAAACTAATCCACAAAAGCGATGAATTCGAACTTACGAGATGGAAATTTACTGATACTTTCCGACACTCTGATTAACATTCTAGCCCCACGTAGGTGATCACCATTTTTCACATGTACCTTGAAGAAAAGTGAAAATTCCACATGAATGACGACTTGAATAGAAGAACTTTATGCGTTTGAATTATCCAAAGACACTTTTTCATCTCAAAATTCAGAAGAATGAAAAATCATTAAATATCTATTCTATTTGACTAATATAAAGCTACAGGTAAAAGTTGGAACTCAGTAACCTGAACCACAGGCTTTTTGTGTACCAAACTACAATATGCAAGTTATAATAAGTGTGTATAGCCTGATAATACCATACAGTTGCTTTTACCTAATCTTGAACCTTCACTTAAAGCCTTTTACGATTCCAAACAATTCACCTACAAACATAGTAGAAGTATTTTAGATGTAGCTGCTGCCTTGCATCATAACATCGTCTGTAGTTTAGATAAAGGGGTTAAATTTGTTCACTGCACCTTCCTGGATTACACATCTGCTTTTGACTCAGTACCTAGGGATATTTTGTCAGATAGGTTTGCTTAAACTCAGACTGAGTGTTGGTTTGTTCACTGGCTGCATTCTTATTTCTCAGGAAGGAAGCAGTATACTGTACTTAAGGGGAAGTTGTCCACTTCATTGCCTACTGAAGCTGGTGTCCCTCAAGGCTCTGTTCTTTCTCCTTTTCTGTTTTCTTTCTTTTTGCATGACTTGCCACATTCTGATGAAATGAACTTTGTTAAGTATGCAGACAATCTAACTGTTTTAAGGCCTGCTAACTCCCAGTTAGATTGCACTATGGTGAACAGCTTTCTATCAGGAGTCAGCAAATTGTTTTTGTCTAATGGTCTAAAACTAAATCCTGCTAAATGTCAGACTGTTAATTTCGGTTTCCGATATAAAGGAAAGTCAATTCCCATGACCGTTGTAAAACTGATGATAGTGATGTAGATCATGTCTGACGTTAAGTATCTTAAACTAATTTTTCCTTCTGATCTATCCTAGTCTTCCCACGTCTTAGCGATTTCTAAAAAGATATTCTGTCCGACTTTTTATATTAAAAAGTTAAGGTACTCATGCATAACTCAACTCCTCCTCACCTTACAGTTTGTCAACTCTTGCATCTTACCTATTCTTCTTTATTGTTCACCATGTCATACTTCGTAGAACTCTGGGGACTATCAGTATCTATCTAATTGTGTCTATAAAATAAAATGCTTGGAATGTGATGCGATATACATCGGACAAACATCTCGAGAAATCAAAATCAGAAGAAATGAACACCGTAGAGCATCTGTTCGACCACCGAGAAATCCAATTGAACTAGAAAAGCTTGAAGAATCATCAGTCATATGTCTACACGCTATAGAATCAGGCCACAAAATTGATTTTGACAATATTGAAATAATCCAGAAAAGCGTTTCAGAAATCACAAAGAACGCCTAATATCGGAAGCACTTCATATCAAGTGGAATCCAAATTGTCTGAATAGAACTTGACCTGGTTACAACATCCCCCCCCACCCACGAAATGACAAAATCAACATGAATGCGATAAGCAATTTCATTATGTAAACACACGCTGTTTTTATAATTTTACACACTTATCAAATCCAACAATCTACATCTGGTTTCGTTATCTTTACCAATTGACCAATTCGACAACGAAAAATGACGCTATACTGAGGAACGATCACGTTAGTAAACTTTGTTTTGATACCATAGCAGATGTACTATTACCTCTGTTATTTGGTTTTGTGATTTTCATTGTTATTTTGACCTTCAATATGTCCTTTTAACTTGACCTAAGTCTATTTTCTCACCACTTAACTCTTTGTTATATATATATATATATATATGCTGATATTTTGTAAATTCTTGTTTAATAATACTACATTGATAAAGCTATTAGCATTAAATAGCGAATCGTCAGTAAAAACAATATCGTTTTGTTTTTCATTCATTGGGAAATACAAAAAACACTTTTATTATAATGTCACCCTTTTATCTATTCAAACTTTATCTCATATTCTCAATGTCTGCACATTGTTTTATATACATTCATTTGACAATTTTAAATAAGGAACTATCACTCCAAATTACACAACATGTACCCCAATACAGTTTCCGATATAATTTTCACATGCCTTCAATGGCTATTTGTAATATAATATGCATGTGTTTATAACTGTAGAGCTTGAGGAAGAATTTATCGAAAACAATTGTTCGCTCAAAATTATCTTGTTCTGTAATAATTGTTTTTTCTCCCCTTCACCATGCTTATGTCAAGTGAACATTAGATTCAATATTCTATAATATGCTAAAATTTCCATACAATATCGACGATATTGCTTGATTGGTTTGGGACTCTTCATCAGTACGCACCTGCCGGGTTTCGAACCCAGGACCTCCTGGTTACAAGGCGAGCCCGTAGACCATTAAGCCACTGGGAGCAGATCCAATAGCCCATGAATTCTAAATTCTAATTGGCTTCAGAAGCGGGTCGAATCCTTTGGAACCAATAATGGTGAAAAACTGACATCCCATCTCTTCTATTGAGAAACATATTATACAGACGGGGCATGCAATTAATGTTTACACCTCTTTTAAACCTATCTATAAAATGTATTCTGGAGGTATCCTGAAGTTTTTGGAAGCTCTAAAGATTAGGATGTTTAAACCACTTTAAATTTTCTTCGGTAAACTTTGTTTTGATACCAGGACAGATGTACTATTAACTCCCTTCTTTGGTTTATTGATATCCATTGTTATTCTTACCTTCAGTACAGCCTTTTAACTGTACCTGTGTCTGTTCTCTCACCCCTTAATGATATGACAAGCACTTGCATGATCAGATTGTTCTGCTGGTTAAAAAATATATCTGTAAAGCTTGTTGAAGTTTTATTTGAAAACAACGTTGTTGACTTATATGTATTGTTTTAATTTTAACAAAAGCCGTATTTATTCCTGAAATAGTTATTACGCAAAACTTTTTCCACTTACCTTTGCAAGTATATAAGAATGCAACAACGCCAAGTTCTCTGACATTTCCGATGGAACACGAATATTTCTTTGCCTTAACTCCTGTACCATACTGAATAGTAGGTCATGTGCACTACGATAATTCCCATTGGTTTGTTCTTCTCTAGCTATAATCACTGCTGTTCTAGCCGCCTCTTTATATTGTTTTAAAACCATATATAAACGAAACAAGTGTCTAGCATCTTTTGCTACACCGTCTGTTTCACCCATTAGATACACAATGACCAAATGTGTAAGGCGGCTGTCACCAGCTAGTCCAACTGCTTCTAGGGCTAAGTCTAATGCTGGACTATTTTCTGTGTATGGCACATGAAGCAGATGTTTAATAGCCTAAAATAAGAAGTGTGAAAACAATAAAAGTTTGAATGAAGTTTTTTAAAAAAGGACAAAAGTTTGAACTTATTAAAACTACATACTACTGATTGACCGAAGTGAGTAGTTGTATACTACTCACGTCAACTAGTAGTTCATGCTAGCCTCTGAGTTGAGTGAAAACTGTGCACACTGCTGATGAGCTCGGTCTTGAATAAGCGAGACGACCATCGGGTGTCAAGATCGAACCCCGGGACCAAGTGAGTGGTTGGAGGGCACTTCACCACTGAAACACCGATGTGCATAGTATTAGCCAGACAAGAATAGACATCTTTACGTTCTATTCAGTGGATACCAGTAGGATCGGGTGAAGTAAGGACTGATTGACAATGCAACCTGTAACGACCATCGACAGAGAGGACTGCGGTTAACTCATATGTACGTTTTGCCGAGAGCGCACAAAACTGCCAACCTTCTACTGAATATAATGAAAAAACACATTCTTACTTAACTAACAATAAATATTTTCTATAGTTTGGTTTGTAATGGTTAGATATGTTTTTACGAGTTGATCACGGACTGATATCAGTTAGAGAACCATTGAAAACCAGGGAGTACTGAACAGCTGCTGTTTTATCCTAGTTTGGGAATCATCGGCAGTACGCACCCACCACCACGGTTAGAACCCAGGACCTTCCGGTTACAAGGCAAGCTCGTATACCATTCAGCCACTGGGACCCGATTCAATGGCCAGCCAGCCCATGAATTCTAACTTCTACCAATTCGTGATTTAGCGCGACTCCAACCATTGTCGTTGGTGGGACATCCATCCAAAGCAGCTGTCCAGTAATCCCTGGTTTTCAATGGTTCTCTAACTGACATCAGTCCGTGATCAACCCGTAAAAACATAACAGTAAATATATTTTAGGCTGCCTACAGCTGAAGATTAGCCTTAAAATGAGATGTGTACATTTTATGCTGCAAATTTTGTTCTCCTTGCTTTGACTAAGATGAGCAAGGGAACACTTTGTATACGTCTTACATTTATCTAGTACTTTGAGTTTTATCACAGCATCATTTTCGTTGACGTTATTCAGTAAATCATATAGGAAGGAGTCCACTTGCTTAAAACTTAGTTTTGTAACCTGAAGAAAACTGATCTCTTATTAGATGTTAGGAGGCAGTCTGTAGGAAGCCAAGGAAGCGGGTTTCATGATTATTGGCACTTGTCAGCAAGGCTTATCTGCAGCTTCGAATGAACGAATGTCCTCATAGAGACTCGAATCCGCGTCACCCAATGAGATAATCAGGTTTGTATCTGATCTTCTGTAGAAAGGTGACGTTTAAATTGGTTGGTCACTATGGGGTGATCAATATCTTCGGCTTCAACCACCTAACATCAGTTGAGTGTGCAGTATGATGGCTAGTCAACCAAGCTTGTTGACTACATTTCAAAACTGAAGAATAGCATTTATTCAGCACCAATTAAGCCTTGAAACACGACACTGGTTACACTCTAGTGACCAGTCAGTGTAAAGTGATCTGTATTCAAAGAAATATGATCTAATCATCTAGTTCTGCATTTGAAAATGTAACCGGGGTTGCAATCGAATTTATAGCTAACTGAATTAAACGCAAACTGAATGACCAATGAAAAGTACTGACCACAGTCAGAATTTTCATGCATTTATTCCCCTTGATGAATTTAAATAAAGCAAGAACAACAGTGGTTTGTGCAGAATAATATGGTACCATCATTGTTTATTTCGTTGGCTTCTCATCAGCTGCTTACAGCCTAAATAAATTGTGAGGTTTACATGTTGTCAGTTGACAGAAAGTTCCACAATTAGTGAAAAGTGCTCAGAAAATTGTGCTTATATAGTTTTTACACAGGCAGTTCAAGTCAAAATAAATGTATGCATACAATGGTGAAGGAGTTACGTAATAAAGACGAGAGGTGAGTAAGATGATGAGTAACTAATAAATTTGGTAACGATGTACTGAGTTCAAATCACGTCACAGAAACAAGAGACAAGCAATATTACAGATTATAAAAAAGAGGGGTGAGGTTAAAGACAAAAATTACGTAATCAGATTAGAGAATAAAGACATCCAGTTACCATGGCAAGGAAAGACTAATAACTGCTTCTTTCTGAACACATAAATCTGTTTGAAGCGTTTGATAGAAATTGCTTCGGCAAACTTGAGGAGAATGGAGCTCCTTTGCAAGTATGTTAAAACTTTTCTGTACGTAAACCTCACAATTTATTTAGGCTGTAAGCAGCTGATGAGAAGCCAACGAAATAAATGATGGTACCATATTATTCTGCACAAACCACAGTCAGAATTATTACCATGCCTTGTGTTTTACACAAAAGTTAGGAGAAATGATTCTTTATGAGTCAGACAGCCTAATTGTTTCAAGTATTTACTGCAGTAACATCTAATACTCAAAGATTACGCTGACAACATTACCAGATGGATACTGTTCTCACTACCTGGTCTATAAATAACCCTCTTCCGTGTACAAACTATCTTTGGACAGCTATAGTAGGTTTCATTTTGAAATAAGAGAGAAAATGTGTAGCTCACGATGAGGGTGGAGATCATTTGGTGTACTTAGAGCTTTTATATTCAGTCGTGGATGTCTCATCATCAAAGTTGTTGATTTTTTCATTACTGAATTCTTTAGTGATAGCGAAGTGCTGGGAATATTTCATGAAGACCTGTAATGGGACGTCGACGATGATAAAATATTGAGGACTGGAAAACACCAGACAACTTTCATCCTCATATTTAGCTACAAACCTTGTTGTTTTTTTTTACGAGGCGGCTACTGGAACAAAACCTGATTTCATGCACTTCTCTTGCTTGACTTTAACCATTTAACATTAAGACTTTTTTCAAAGGATGAGATAGAAATATCTCCTTTGTAAAATATAGCAATACACTGAAAAGAATAAATGTACCTTTTCATACTGTTTAGCCAATAGGTAGTATTTTCCCGCCAAAAACCAATTTTTCTCATTTTCAAAATAGCATGCAATGCTTTGATACTCACTGACGGAGGCATTGGAACCTAAAAATCAAACAGAAAATTAGTCTAACTTTTTAAATTGTCAAAGTTGGTCTAGCTGATAATATTATAATGCCTGGACCGACGTGAAGAACCTAGAAGACCTGGATTTCGCGGATGACTTATGTTTGATGTCACACAAAATCGAAGACTTACAAGCGAAAACCGACAAAATGGTCGAAGAAGCAGCAAAGACAGGACTCAAGGTGAACATAGACAAGACGGAGGTTATGAAAATAACCAACCAACAACAACAACAACAGCAGCAACATCCAGCGCCAATCACCATCAACGAGAGGGATTTGAAAGAGGTTACTTCATTCACTTATCTAGGGAGCATTGTCTCAACTACAGTAGGAACGGACGAGGATGTCAAATCGAGAATCGGGAAGGCGAGAAACACATTCATCAACCTGAAACCAATCTGGAAATCTTCGTCACTCAGCATCAACAACAAAATTCGGATTTTCAATACAAACGTCAGTCAAGTCAGTTCTTCTATACGGATCAGAAACTTGGCCAGTGTGTCACAAAGAATATTTCCAACAGCCTGTTGCAGACCTTTATCAACAACTGTCTTCGCTCTATACTGAAGATCAGATGGCCGGAAAGAATCACCAACAAGAAACTATGGGAACAAACAAAACAAGAACCAATCGCCCAACAAATATGCAGGAGAAAGTGGAGATGGATTGGACACTCGCTGAGGAGGCCGCTGGGTGACATCGCGCGTCAGGCCAGTGCTCGAGTGGAACCCGAAAGGGAAGCGGCGAGTGGGACGTCCAAGGGTGACATGGAAGAGATCGTGTGAAGAAGAGTTGAAACAGTATGGACTAACATGGATGCAGGTGAAAAGTACAGCAGAAGACAGAAGCAAGTGGAGACGTGCAGTTGAAGCCCTATGTTCCACTAGGAACCCAAGGGAACAATAATAATAATACTTTTTTTGTGTTGAGTGAAACGTGGGATTTCAGAGTCATTTCCTCATTCCAAGTGTCCGAAAGAATTCGTTTCTTCTTCACATAATCGTATACACATTATCATCGGCGGACGCCCAAATCTTTGTTTGTCATTCGAAGTCCACTTTAAGGTCTAGTGTGTGGTGTCAATCGAAGTTCCTCCAGCGTCTTTCCAAGCTACCCCCACGTCCTGGCACCATGTAATGAAACTAATCACAGTAATCTGTCCTCCAACAAGATAGTTGTGAATAGACTCAATCATATCAGAGTTTGTAAACCAAAAAATATATGTGAGCTCACTACTTAACATTGATATGTACAATAATGAACAATCTACGGAGTTTCGTAAGATAAACTGAAGCAACGAGTTGGTAGTGGGTCACAGGGTATTATTATTATTAAAAAAACCGAAAACCTGTCTCATTATGGATACCAAGAGGTGCATCGCAACTCGTAGTCTGTGCGAGGGTGGGGATACTGACCGGACACGCAGATCAGTGCACGTGGACACCTTACGGGACCATGCTACAAGCCTTCGATTTGATCCGCAAGTTTCAGCCACAAGGCAGTGGAGCAACTTTAGGAGCTATGTTCCCATGGTTTCCAGTAACCATAACAAGTTCGTACACAAATCGATCCTTTTGGATTCTGGATCCCATATGCGTAATACATTTGGAATCGGAGTTTCTCTGCTCCCCTAGGTAGACCTGGAAGTCTTGTCGTAACACCAGATGTTCGTATTAGACCTCCCACTTTTGTGAGAAATAACCCCCGTCGTATGAGGGCAACGAATAGGACGAGACTGTGAAGTTACATCGACTGAGATGGTTAGGACATGTAATACGTATGCCTAGTCATCGCCTTCCTCGACAACAGGCAATGTTAGCTGATATAGGGCCAGGCTGAAAAACAGCTAGTGGCGGTCAAACCAAAACATGGCACCAGTCAATGAAATCGACGACAGTTAGTTTAAGCCAACCATGTAGGAAGGTGTAGACTTCCTGGTTGGGGTCCTCGGGACGGTAAAAACCAATGGTTGGAAACAATTTGTGACACAGCTCAAAATCGTTCTCAATGGCTAGCGCAGATGCATCCACTCCTTGTGACTTATGATTTCCAATGAAACCGTTTTGTTCTTCGTTACTACTTTTCCTTTGTCTCTCACCTCTGTTTACTGTCTATATTATGCATTTCTTCTACTTTCTTCTCTTGCTTTGTGTGCTACATGGAGGGAGTGTGGCGACTTGAACTGCCGTACGTCGGTGCAAAGTTCTATGTCGAAAACCGACCGACCGACGAATAGGACTTACATGACAGAGGTCACCAGTGTGTGGCTACGTAAGAGCACTTCGAGAAGAAGACTCAAGTCCACCAACTCTCGGCCAAATCAGGTCATTTATCGGGGTGACATGGAAGAGATCATGTGAATAGGAAATGAAAGCTTACGGGAACTTGAAGAGCCAAATGAATGTGATGGCAAAGCATCGAATGCAATAGGAATGTACTGCTGAAGCCACATATGCCACTCGGAACGGAATTAATGTATAGTATTAGTAGTAGTAGTAGTAATAGTAATAGTAGTGCTTCAGCTTCACAACCTATTAAATAATATCACTTACCAATAGCTTCTGCATATAATTCCATCTTTTTATGCTTTCTTGCAATATCGAATGCAGCATCTAAGCATTTAGACATAACAAGAAATTGAATTGCCTTGGCTTGATCACCAATTTGTATAAAATATTGAGCAATCATTTTAGCACCTTCTATACTATGCGTTTTATGTAGTATGCGTATAGCTTCCTCTGGATTATTCAGTTTTTCCAGTTGTAATCTAAATAAATAAACAAAGCATTTGTTTACAACTAAACATTTTTGCAAACTTTTCCTTTGGAATTCTATTGATAATGTATATACTTCTAAAGATGGTTTTTATGTTGACGTGATGATCAGTTTAAGAGAAATTCCAGTAGGCTAAATATTGCAATAAAAGCAGCATTCAATGCTGCAGAAGCTCAATTTCTCTTCAAAAACACTCCTACTTCACTTCTGGGAATTAAAGATAAACTACCTGAATTCACATCCTCTATGTGTATCCACCGGTTTGACTGATCGTGTTCAGCTAGTTACATTCGGAGTACAATTAGCACTGTTCCTCACTGAACATCACGCGTGATTAAGCACAACGGAAACAAGATCTGTTCGTATCTCCATCTTCGCCCACCTTGTGGCAACTTCAGACTGCATAAGGCTGAGTGGAAGGCCTTAATTAGAGCATAATTAATCTGAGACAAATTGGTTTCAATTAACCTTGTTTTAACTTGAATGACAGGATGTGTTGGAAAGGTCAACTGTCAGAAATATTGGGAAATAAAGGGGGCATACTGTACTCAACCGCTAAAGAAAATTTTGGTAAAACGTCGTGACCGGTGGAGTCCACCAAATCAGGTGTGAGGACAAATACTCGCCAATAATATCAGCTGGCTGTGGCCGCATATACATCGCAGATTAGCAGAATTCAGAATTCCCAGGCCATTGGATTCTATCTCATTGGCTGAATAGTTAATGAGTTTGTAGCGTACATTGAACCCTTGAACTTTTGTTTCAACTCACTCACCCGACTTTTGGCACTTCTTCCTCTTTCGATTCGTGAATCTTCTGTACCGTTTTGGTTCGCTCTCTCGTTGTGCTTTCATCCAGCACACTCTCCGAGCCTACCACCGTCAGGACTGCAGATAAGTGTATAATCTCTTATTTTTTATCAAATTTCATATCTCTTTTGTGTAAATATAACTCTGTTCCAGTCACACTTGCCATCTCAAGTCTTTTTACCTTGATTCCGTTCGTTAGTATTTGCACATTAGGCAGAGTACAACTAAGGTCATAAAGCGGTGAAGAAGTTTTTGTAAGAGTGGTTAATTTAGGTCTAAGTTAAGCCAAGTCTAACTCTTACAAGTTCGTCTTGTAATCTAAAAGTCCTGTATTGGATTTGTCATGGGGTTATGGAGAGTCCCAGACTAGGATTCAACAGTTGTCCAGTAGTCCTTGGTTCTTGATCAAAATTGAAATCAAACAAATCCCTACAAACTAACACCTAAAAATTTTAATTTTGACTGAAAGACACTAAATAGTTCTCTTTTATGAGAACAATGTTCACTGTGTATTTTCAAGAAAAACATTTTTAAACATAAATCAGCTAAACAAAATTATTCAGCTCACCTAATTACTGAAACCATATCATTAGCTGCCTCATAAGCAGTTACAGCTTCTTTATAGGCACCATCAGCTTCACGTGCCTTTGCATATTGTAAATGTAATCTTGGTGCATTTGTTACGTACATAAGAAGTTCACCGGCTTTTTTGTAATTTTTACACTTGAGATTTACAATCACCGCTGATTCATAACATCCAGCTAATTCGTATAGATTAGCTGCTTCTTGCCATTGCTAGTGAGAGCAACATATATACATGATACATAGATATGAACCGTTAGAAATGATAACGGGTAATAATAAATAAACATTTAAACAGAAAGACTGATGTTTGTGGATGGTGACTAGCAGTGGAATCAAGGATGCCCATTTCGTCCTATTTGGGACTCGTCATCTGGATGCACCTGCATTTCCCAGTGAGTGATGATGTTCCCACCGAGGCTCGAACCCAGTGCAGGTACATACAGATGACGAGTCCCAAATAGGACGAAATGGGCATCCTGGATTCCACTGCTAGTCACCATCCACAAATTAAATTCTAATTAAATACCCGGACATAGTCGAAGCATCTGCACAAGAAGCCGACATTTCAACCTGAGACTGAGCACTTCGGTCCAATCAATCGATGGTAAAATCTAAAATTCAATTAAAAGAAAGACTGATGCTCCGCGAAACTTGGATGTACCGAAGAAATAACTAATTGTAAATCGGGAATTCAAAGGAAGATACAAATAGTGAAGTTCGCCACAGCTATATGCTGGGAGAGATTTGAAGATAGTCCTTTCCTGAATTTTCATGCCTCACACAGTCTTGTTCACCACCAAAGCGTCAAAGACGAGATTCCGCTGTCGGTAACTATAATATGCATTTACTAATTCACTCGCTCCAGTGGAGATAAGTACATAGGTTGTACCAGCAAGACTCACTCAAGAACACTTACTAGCATGGTTGTCAAGTACATTATTACGTCTGGTCACCACTGTGCCTCGGTGGCACAGTGGTTAGAACTCTCACCGACCATGCAAATGGTCAGGGGTTCAATCCCCTGCCGACGCACACCCGATATCTATGATCGGCCTGTGAAATTTGGGCTACCGATATCCATGCTGAAAATTCCATACTTGTACTGAAAATACGGTGTGGCATCAAGCTGTAATCAAAATAAATAAAAAGCAAAGACTTCATTCAGAGTCATACATAAATTACTATCAAATTGTTCAGAAGGACTTCGCTTACATCTCCATGGAGCTGTAGCGACAAATAATTCCCCAAAGTTATTGACCACAGCACTCATCACTGAACATTGGATACTGACCCTCACTGTTTAAGTCGACTTGTTTAGCTGAAGGCTTCCGATCAAGCATCCACGCCATTTAGTACTCCGTCGTGTCACGTTCGTGCACGATCACTAGCCAGCTAAGCAATCATCTCACACTCCGATTTGGTCCCGAAATATATCTCGTAATTTGGACGGTCAATATCGTGTTTTACTTTGCCTTTGGTCAACGCGGAGTGAATACTATAGAAGTTGTGGGTATTAGATCTTGCGTGAGTATACTCCGTACAATCCACGAACGTCAATACCGTCAGCCTCTAAAGAGCCAAAGCTGTAGACAGCCACAAAAAGAAATCTGAACTCTGTTTTCAGAAACGCTTTATCCAGCCTCTTTTCCTAACACGGCCTTAGAGTCAATTTTATTTTCCTGAATTGCATAATAAGCGGAATGTATTCCTTCCTATTTTGTAATTTCATTTTTGTAACCCATTCTCAATCCTCTTTTCTCTTGTTTCCTATCAGTTATGTCTAAATGAATACTCATCACTTAATAAATTAGGTGTTAGCCCACTGTTGTTCCTTACACACTGACTTTTTTGTTACTAACTAACAATAAACTCTGACCTGTGTTGTCAATTAACATTGCATAGATAAATCTCTAAATAACTGCACAGCTATGAAGTGATATTACGAACACAGATCTCTTTGTTAACATCATAGCTTAATCCAATAACTCAGTGAGTCACAAAGCCTCACTCTTATATTACACACTCCGTGTTAATACTTACGGCTAGCACTAAAATTCACTTCGCTCCACCGTCTATTAATATGGAAATTTGATTCAAAGCATTATCAGGATATGTGCTTAAGGATTCACTATCTTGAAACAGGTTTGAATGAACAGATTTCAATAGAATTAGCAACCGCCAGCTGTATGTAGCCGCTGACGGCTCCAAAATAGGACGAAACCTATGTACTGGACTCCACTGCTAACCATCACCGATCAAGTAACATCATGCTTGCTTCAAGACATCGTAGAACCATGTGTACCAGAAACACATTTATTGACAGGGTACGAACATTTCAATGCAGTACACTAGATCAGAGTCGGCTTAAAATAGTAATCCTCTTATGATTCATCATGTGATTTATCGTATGATCGGATGACTGTAAAATTTCATCATCTTTTTCTTACCTTGGTCTTGGTCAAATATTCAACCAATCAGAGTATTTTATTTTTCACTGACCTAACCGAATCGCCATCCAATCAGAACAATCTATTTACATACCTTAGGCAGATTTTAATGGGGTTAAAGATATATAAATATGATGTGCTTTTTCGTAATAAAAAATTGTATCCTAACGGTCACAGGCCAGTCTTTGTCTTTTAACATTTGCGTGGCTCAGTGAAGCAGAAGGTACCACAGACGAATAGGTGTATCTAGCATATCAGTTAAATTGTTCATTGCGTCAGTATTATTATATCTACGCTCGGTCATATCAGCTGTCGACGCGATCATATCAGTTGGTGACAGGACCATAACAACACTTAATAACTTAAACAAATAAGAATGTTCTCACATTTAAACGGTATATAACGCCCAATATTCTAGACTATGTAACTTTTCAGATGAGAAAGTATGAGTGTTGAACGTATACTTTTCATTTGAGAAGAATATATGTGACTCTGAAATAGCAACAACTTGATATAATGATGAGTATTTGCAGCTTGACTTGTATTATTATTTTTTTATTTAAACGCAGAAAAAACTTGGTACAACATGGCACCAAGAAAGATGCACCACACAATAATAATAAAACAACATAGATTAGAAGTAAAAATATAAGTAGAAAACGGATAAAGAACTTCATCTGGAAGGAAAACAGTCATGTTTAACAAGTTCAAACAGTATTCGTTAACTATCATCAGGAAGGGAAGAAAGAAGAAAATTGCAACACGTTCGCCATTGATTACGATTCTTGGCCATATCCGATAACGTTTCGAGCCATCGATTCGAGCTATCTCGCGGACCCCAACCAGGGAGTCGTGATGCACCAACCGATGCCAATGTAGCACAAATATCCTTCATCCCGCAACGCCACGTCATGGAGTGGCCACCCCTCTGCCTTTTCCATCCCGTTTCAGGGCTAGCGAACAGAGACCTGTACGGAAACCTCTGGGATGACATTCGCAGCACATGTCCAAGCCACCGGAGCCGGTGTTTCCAGATGACGACACTCAATGAATGGTGATCTCCACTGTGTTCAAACACACGCCACCGAACCTCAGAATTACTCACGCGATGATGCCATCGAACGCAAGCAATCATGTGGAGACAGCGATGATCGAACATGCAGAGTCGCCGCACATCCTCAGCTCGCAGAGGCCAGGTTTTACAGGCGTAGAGCAAGACAGCCCGCATCGAAGCATTATATGCCCGACTTTTGACAGCCAGGCTAATGTCGCGACGGCGCCAGAGGGGGCTCAAGTTGATGTATGCCACCCTAGACTTCAATATACTTTACTTGGCAGTACTGTGATATTTTTTTGATAACAGAACCGAAAATTTTAGCCTTACACATTCCGACTGTAATCTAGGAATCATCTCAGATATATGTTACCACTTGGTAGATTTCTCTCAAGTGAACAATCATAGCGTTGTCGGCTGACCGTTTCCTTCATGGCTAGTTTGTGATCTTTAATCACAATACTTAGTTTCATATATTTTTCATCTGCATGTAGGTTGAAGGTTTCGAGTTCGGTTCCACTATTCTTGTTTTCATTAGAGCGGGGTAAAATTGTACTCGCTTTTTCTGTCTTAGTGGAGTTTTCTTCGAATTGATGTTCATCTTCTATTTATAAAATAAATTAAAAACGTCGATTTTTATATCTTGGTGAGAGCACTACAGACTTAACTGAGAGAATTCTTTCAGCACTGACAACCATTCAGAATGACACTAGTTACTTCTTTGTGACCAGTCAGTGTACCTGTTAAGGTCCCACAGAAGGTCAATAGTGGTGTCCTAGAAACCAGAAAAATGGACCAAATTTGTTTTCAATGTGAACATGCTTCACCCTGTCATCTCTCACAAGTTACTTACATTAAATGAGTAACAAATGACACACTTGTATACTGATTTCTATTTCGGCGCTAAGATACAATCGCTGCCATCTATATCAAGCCACGTTCGAGAGCACCTCTCAGTTTGGCTGAGCAAAGGAGAACGCAGAGGTATTAATTCATCGATATTGCAGCATATTGTAGATACTCACCACATCGTTTAATATAGTCTACAAAATCCGACAAAGTTCGCCGAAAGGGACACGAGCGCATTTGCTTTGTATACCAGAGGTTTTGGCAGAACATAACATAAAGCCAGAAATTTGTGTACATTAACCATGGTCTTGATTTTACTATGTAATTCACATAACAACTTTGTTATCCCTCTTTATTCCGTTTTCCATTTTTGTTTTATTTCATTTTACTCTATGTTATCGTATTCTAACATTTCTATCTAGACTACTATTTTCACAACATTTCACTCATTCTATGTCTCCATCACATCACATCACATTCACATATTCACATTTCCGAATGTACTTTATTTTCCGATCATCGATTTCACACATGTCGATTGACCTTTAGGATGACCTCTATTTATTTAGTTATTCATTCATATATCTAATCAGTTGTGACACAAATTCCTAAACAGCAATGTGATCACAGCACTTTAGTATTTCCACTAACTGTCAAACTTTAACACACACACACCCCCAAAAAAAACTGATTGTTATTGTCTATTGTAATTCAGCTATAAAAACGAAATCGTAGCAGAATGGATTTTCGTCGCTGTATTTTTTTTCCTTCACGTTCCTCAGTGGAACATAGGGCTTCAAGCTAGTGGCTTGAAGTTTCTGTAGCAGTGTTTATTTTACGAGATGAAGTTGCTAGCCTCATGCCCAACCTTTCCTCTTCACCAGCATTATTTCTGACTTAGCGAGGTAAAGGAGTGCGTCTGTGGCCGGGGATCGAACCCCGGATCATGTGCATGGTCGGCGAGCGTCCTGACCGCTATACCACCGACGCACCGCTGTATTGTTTGCTTTTAAATAAATTTATTTTAAAAAAAGACTTCACATCGAAGTATGAGCTGAATATGTTGCTCAGTAGAGCAATGAAAGCTTCGCAACCAAACCATCCAGCTCAGAGAACACAACCACACCAAAAACAGAGAGATACAGTATTTAATAATTCCCATTGTAGCATTAGGAACACAATATCCAGCGAAGAGACTCTTTTCAACGAATTTATCATCAAGCTGTACAATCGTATATATATGGTTTTTATAAGAAATTATATCCAGTGATGGAATTAGGTAAAAGGTGTGAATACATGAAATAATAATAATAATAATAGTACTATGAAATGCAATTAAAATATTTGTCATTATAATCATAGTTTAATGTCAAGTAGCAAAACCATCAATGTCATACAGAGAATAATACATAAGGTGTATAGATTTTCGGCATATTTTTGAGCATATCTGAAGCTCAAAGATCGTCTCTCTAAATCAGTCAGTAAAACGTTCTATGCGGCAAAATTACATATGACATTCACTAGCCGCAAGTTGTTCTCTACCTCTGTAAAAAGATAAGCTCCCCCGTCTGGCCACCTCCATGTGCATCTATCAGTTCACCTGCTCTTGTGGAGCAAGTTACATTGGCCGTATTCAGGGGGCGCTTTCCACACGGATACGAGAACATATTCCAGCATGGTTTTACAAGGGAGAAAGGAAGTGTGTGCGAAGCTCTATTCTGGAACACCTGATCGACTTCTGTCACTCTGTCAACCTTGACCATGATTTTAAGATCATATATAGAATCCATGCTAACTTCCCGCGTTTTCTTCGTTACAAACTTCTAAAAACAGCTGAGGCCTTGGCAATTCATGACTTTAAGCCAGACCTTAGTGTACAAAAGAAGTATGTACAATCCCTACTTCTGCCTTGTCCGTAGAGGGATAGACATTCATTTATTTATTTTGTTTATTTAGTTATTCTATGTACTTTTCCCTTAATACTACGATGATTATTATTATCATTATTATTATTATTACTATTCTCACTCTGAATCTTTTCCACTTGACCCACTTGACATTTTAAACCCGAAATTATTAATTTTTATATTTTTTTATTTTTACAATATTGAATTCTATCTTATCAAATTTCACACCATGTTATGTAACATTTTATATTCGTCTACTAATCTTATAATTATGTACCCCTTTCCAAAATTCTATACACCTTATGTATTATTCCATATATGACATTAATTATTTTGCCACTTGACATTAAACTATGATTATAATCACAAATATTTTAATTGCATTTCATACTATTATTATTTCATGTATTCACACCTTTGACCTAATTCCCTCACCGGATATAATTTCTTAAAAAAACCCATATATATACGATTGTACAGCTTGATAATAGATACAGTATTATTGTTAGGTGTAGATTCGAAGACGAAAGATTCAGTGGTCATCGTCTTCCTCCAACTAACTTCATTACTTTTCAGAAATGTGGCTCTGTGTGTGTACATTAATAAATGGATTTCAATTGATGAGTTTTTTTTCCATACTGTTCTTCTTCGTGGGGTCAGTCATTCTTATGTTCCGATAATTTGACTACCCCTGATCGACTGGTCTGACTTATGCAGTTGACCTCAAAGTCAATGCATGGTACTTAGGAGATTACATTAGTTTGACTGATTAGGATTCTTAATAAAGCAGGCATTAAGATGGCATTTAAATCTCAGTATGTGTGAAGTTGACGTTGGCAGACGTTCGCTCAGACCACTATCTCGTACAAGGGACAATCCAAATCAAATTAAAAGCTTTCAGAGAAACAGGAGCTGCAGATAGACCACAAGCCAAGTTCAACACTCAAAAACTGAAGGACCAGGACACAAAGGACATCTTCACTGCAAGCATGAAAGACAAAGCCGAGACACAAATCAACACTGGCGAAGAAGTCAGCGTCGAAAAGCACTGGAACAACTTGAAGACAGTGTGGAGTCAAACCTGCATGGAAGTTCTAGGCAGAAAGAAGAGACAGGACAAACAGTGGCTCACTACGGACACTTGGAGACTGAGAGAAGAGAGAGGGATGGTGAAACAAAAGATTCTCCAGTGCACCGACGAGCAACAAAAACAGGATTTGAATGCAAGCTACAAGACACTGAACGAAAGAGTAAAGAAGAGTGCCAGAGAAGACAAAAGAAAATATTATGAAGCCATGGCAAGTGAGGCAGAACAAGCTGCAGGCAAAGGAGACCTCGCAACACTCTACCAAACTACTAGGTACCTATCAGGCAAAAGTTTGACACAAATCAAGCCGGTGAAGGATGACAATGGAAAGTCACTCACCAAAGAAGTGGAGCAAAGGAAACACTGGGCTGAACACTTCAAAAGACTCCTAAATCGACCACCACCTACAACGCGCCCAACAATACCAACAACGGAGATAGAGCTGCCAGTGAACAACAACGCAGCGACGAAATCAGAAGTCCTGAAGGCAATCAAGATGCTAAAAGCTGGAAAAGCAGCAGGACCAGATGGAATCCCAGCAGAAGCATTGAAAGTGGACCCAGAGACAACAGCGGACTTGATGACGCCACTACTGGAGAAGGTGTGGAAAGAAGGCAAAGTACCCGAGGATTGGAAGAAAGGATACCTATTCAAACTGCCAAAGAAAGGAGACTTAAGTCAATGCAAGAACTGGCGCGGAATTATGCTCCTGTCCATCCCAAGCAAAATAATAAGCCGCATCATCCTGGAGAGAATCAAACATGCCAACCTGGATGAAAAACTTCGACCGGGACAGGCTGGATTCAGAAGAAACAAGTCATGTATTGATCAGATCGCCACATTACGGATCATCATTGAAAAAAGTTTGGAATGGCAGTCACCTCTCTATCTCAACTTCATCGACTTTGAAAAGGCCTTCGATAGCGCAGCGTCGATCGAGAGGTGATTTGGAAACTACTTCGCTACTACGGGGTGCCACCGACAATAATACATCTCATCCAACAGTTGTACGACAATGCTGCATGCCAAGTAATCCACAATGAGAAACTTACGGAATCCTTCGAAGTGAGGACAGGAGTAAGACAAGGCTACCTACCAACGCCAATGATTTTCCTGATTGCAGTAGACCGGATAATGCGACAAATAGCGGGCAATGAGGAAACACGCATAAAATGTACTCACACAAAATACTTTGAGGATCTGGACTTCGCCGATGATATATGTCTGATTTCCCACAAAATGGAAGATATGCAAGTGAAAAGGAACAAGTTGGCAGAACAAGCATCCAGAGAAGATAGGACTTCAGGTGAACATAGAGAAAACAGAGATGATAAAGATTCCTGGTCAACACCACCAACAGCAACAACAACAACAACAGACAACAATCAGCATAAATGGAAGAAACCTGAAAGAAACAACCTCCTTTACGCATCGACCTGGGAAGCATCGTTTCAACTACAGGCCGGCGGAACTGACGAGGATATCAAAACAAGAATCGGAAAAGCAAGACAAGCTTTCACTACTCTAAAGTCTGTGTGGAGGTCAACAGCACTCAGCATAAGAATGAAAATAAGATCCGGATTTTCAACTCCAATGTGAAGTCAGTGCTACTATACGGATCAGAGACTTGCACTGCGCGTCATAAAAAGCACCTCAAACAAACTACAGACCTTCATTAACAGTTGTCTTCGCTCAATACTCAAGATCAGATGGCCGGCCAGAAAAGATCAGCAACAGAGATCTCTGGGAGCGAACCAACCAGGAACCGATTGTGAAACGAATAGGCAGGAAGAAATGGAGATGGATTGGCCATACTCTGAGGAAACCATCAAGTGACATCACTAGACAAACCATTGCTCGAGTGGAACCCGAAAGAGAAGCGGCGAGTTGGTCGTCAGTGCGAGGATGGGTGACTTGGAGGAGGTCATGTGAAGAGGAGATGAAAACGTGTGGGAAGACTTGGAGCCAGGTGAAGACTCTAGCAGAGAACCGAACGCAATGGAGACGCACGGCTGAAGCCCTATGTTCCTCCAGGAAATAAAGGCAACAATAATAATAATGTGTGATCCGTTTTCCATGCTTACTTTTAGACTACCAACACCGAAGAACTGTTGTGCTTCATTTGCGTAGTGGTCGACGCTTTGACGTTTGAAGTGATAGATGTGGGTTAGGAGTTTTAATGGGAACACGAGCACTCTAAGAATGCAGGATAGTCCAGCTCATGAATCTCAAACACAAAAAATGTGCCTCCTGGATCATATTACTAGCCACTACCAGGCAAAATAACATTAGGTAGTATTTTAATTACACAGTTAAGCTTCCTTTATTGCACTTATCAATAAGGTGATATATAAATCGACATTTTGTTGTTGTATGGTAATGAATGCCTTGTAAAATAAAAACACTAATCTAACTTACTTTGTATTGTTCCAGAATGTCAGCACATTCTTTTTGTAGATTAGGGTTTCCACTTTTCGACGACAGCTCAATACCCCTGGTGTGTATATATAGGACAGAAGAAATAGAAAATTAGTCGATTTATATTTTGTAGATCAAACTAAATTAATCATTCTGATGTCCAATAAATTAATCTTAAATAGAGTAAGATTTAATTTTCTACTTAAGAACACCTGGAAAACTCTATACACATAATGAAGAATAATTATATGTATATATTTTTTATTCCTTCACGTCCCCAGTGGAACATAGGGCTTCAAGCTAGAGGCTTGAAGTTTCTGTAGCAGTGTTTATTTTTACGGGATGGGGTTGCTAGCCTCATGCCAAACCTTCCCTCTTTACCAGTCTTATTACTGGTTTAGCGAGGTAAAGGAGTGCGTCTGTGGCCGGGGATCGAACCCCGGAACATGTGCATAGTCGGCGAGCGTCCTAACCGCTGTGCCACCGACGCATATATATATATATATATTACTCTAAGGAATATTAGTGCAGAATCCACTCAGTGTGTTCGTGGTTGTCGTTAGGGTGGTAGTAGTAGTTGCTTGGTGACTGTCCAGTCAAAGATATGGAGACTTCACTTACATTCCACAGATTCCCAGCACTTCTCTGCTATACCTTCTTATTTCTTTTGCAATATGAGTAGCCTTGTCAGCTTCGAATTTGGTTAGGACGTTGCATGTCACCATGATTAGTTTCGCTTTCATTGACAAAAAGACACATCGCCTAAACGGCTTCACAAAGGCTTTTAACACCTGATATCATTTCGTCTTTCCGATCTCAGCGAAGAGTAAGTTCACTTTTTTCTCTGTGCTTCAAAGTGTTGTAGTGATTAGACTGATCTTCTGGAGTCAAGTGGCTAGCCCCACTCCCAACCTTCACTCTTTTCGTGGGATTAGGAATGGCTAGTAAGCTACGCAGCTTGGCCAATTTTATAACCATAATAATAATAAATTAATGAAGACATACTCCATTATGGATAAGATTTTATTTTGATAAATCACACAGTGGTGTTATACAGTAATATTAACTGATGACCACCTTCCGAGCACAAACTATTGCCACTCATAATCATATCAAGTCACTCACACAACTTTTTCCCTTCATTTATATACATGTGTGGAATTGACTAGATATTTGAATAAAAATCAATATGGGATAATGTACATTCAGAAATAATAATATGAGTGTTATTGATCAATTACAATCAGATGGGGAATAAGACGAGTTATACCATATAAAGAGGGGACATCTGAGGCCCTACGTAGGATTCTTAATAAAGCAGGAATTAGGGCGGCATTCAAACCTACGAACTCACTCAGAGACAAGCTCTGTAGGCTAAAAGACCCGGTGGACCCAATTAAACAAAATAATATAATTTACAAAATACCCTGCAATGACTGTGAAGTCAATTACGTAGGTTTAACTAGTAGATCGAGGGTAGTCAGATTATCAGAACATAAGAATTTAGCTAAGGTAAGAATGGTTGACGCCGAGAAGATGAGTAATTTAGAAGAAAGCTCAGAAATTGCACTACATGCATTAACACACAACCACACAGTAGCATGGTGGGAGAGGGTTAAGATTCTAAGAAGTAATCTATGTGGGTGGGTGGAGAGAGATTGATTGCTGAATCCTGATTCATTGATTCTACACCCAACACATGCAACAGAAATGACTCAATGCAAATACCAGAAATATGGGAGATATTATTACCGCCAGTCAGTCAAATCAGAAGAGGATAATAAATAATCTCAAAATTCTATTTCAATCCAAGCATATCACAACATTCTAACATGTTACTTATTATAACTAAAAGAACACTCGTCTTATTTCCCATCTGATTGTAATTGATCAATAACACTCATATTATTATTTCTGAATGTACATTATTCCATATTGATTTTTATTCAAATATCTAGTCAATTCCATACATGTATATAAATGAAGGGAAAAAGTTGTGTGAGTGACTTGATATGACTATGAGTGGCAATAGTTTGTGCTCGGAAGGTGGTTATCAGTTAATATTACTGTATAACAACACTGTGTGATTTATCAAAATAAAATCTTATCCATAATGGAGTTATACTCTACCAGCACAGTGCCCAATTTTTATACTTATATCATGAAGACATACTCATACGCATTTGTGATGATAAAGTTATTTGCATTGCCTCATCCCCCATTTCATAGTCCAAAAACAATGGGAAAATGATTTTAAACCAGAAGAGCTAAAGTAACATGTCACTTATCGGTTCTTGGTTGTGGATATGCACCGGTGAAATGTCCTATATCGTGATGAAACAATTGTCATGTGCTTACTGTTTTCCAGTGATTCCTTAACTAACATGTGTGTGTGTCACGAAGACTGTTTTTGTATGAAAATGGTGAATACGGAGATTAATGATGCAGCAGTTGCATGTACTAATCAGTAGATGCAGTTTTTGCTCTTTTCAATCTTGGAGTCTTCATTAGCAGTGGTGTTGTTTGTAAAGCGTGGGGTTGCAAGCCAAACAACGCTCAACCTTTCGTCTTCTCCCGGCTTATTACCGATTAGTAAACTAGGCAAGGTTTAAGAGAGAATCGGCCAGGAATTGAACCTAGACCTCCTTTATGGTGTGCGACCATTCCACCATTGAACCAAAGAGTGCAGACGTAGACAGTCAAATTGAGAATCAAGTTAGTTACCTTTTTAAATCACCAAGACGAATAGCATTTCTAGCGATACCAGCATTACATAAACTGATGTGCTTCGTCCATTCATCATTATCTTCAGCATCATCTTCATTGTACCCTGAAAACAAAAGATGTAAGCATTTTTATTCTCTAAAAACAAAAAACATAACAGCATTACTTCTTGGTGCACAGCTTTTCTGTTTAATATTCCATAAGGATGCATCTTCCCCGTTGATATCAGATGATGGATTGAGAGCACGTTCATAATGCATTAATGCATTGACATAATCTCCAGTACACTCCATTTCTGTAGCATATTCACGGCATATAAATGGTATTTCTTGTGGTGCTAAATTCCGTGCCAGTTGAAGTGCATCTTCCCAATGTAAAAGATCTCGTCTCATCTACAATGTTCAAAAAGAAACGAGAGAGAATATTTAATTCTATGCTGAATAAATTTATTTGATAAGGCGTACAGGTTTCTCCACTCTTTTGTGTCTCGAGTGTAACATAGAACTTCAAGATTGAGCTTTAAGCTTTTAATCTGTCTGTCTGTCTGTTTACGACATAGAACTCTGCACCGATGTGCGGCAGTTCGAGTCGCCACACTCCATGTAGCACACAAAGCAAGAGAAGAAAGTAGGAGAAATGCATAATATAGACAGTAAGTTGAGGTGTGAGACAAAGGAATAGTAATAACGAAGAACAATATAGTTTCATTGGAAATTATAAGTCACAAGGAGTGGATGCATCTGCGCCAGCCATTGAGAACGATTTTGAGCCATATCACCAATTGTTTCCAACCATTGGTTTTTACCGTCCCGAGGACCCCAACCAGCCAAGAAGTCTACACCTTCCTACGTGGCTTAAACTAACTGTTGTAGATTTCATTGACTGGTGCCATGTTTTGGTCTGACCGACCCGACCGATAGCTGCTACCTTGACGTGGTGGTCGGGCTTGCACATCGCGATGACCCAACAAGCTGCACTGGCTGGAACCAATGTTCCTGCAGGTCCTACCATGCCAGGAAGGTTGTTAGGATAGTGATTAGACTAAAAGCAGTTACCGGCATTGTGTAAGAATCTTTCCTACACTATGCTGCGGGTCTGAGGGCGAAGTCGTACTGCTGGGGAACAGGGGTGTAACAGCAGTGAGGTGTTTCCCTCAGATGACCAGCATGCCAGCTATGCTGTCTCTCCACTCCGGAGAGAGGGGGTTAGAAAAGGTCGACCCCAAAAATTGTACATCCCGACTTACCCTACGGTGGTCCGTAACCGGCGGTAAGTTTACTAATACGGAACCAATCCCAGAAACCATTTCATACAGGCCGTGTGTGGCCGGCCTCAAGCAGTTGTCCCCTGGGCTCTGCAGTCACGTAACACTAACCCTCTCTCTGTTTCAGGTACCCGATGTGGGCAGCCGGGAAGTAACAACCGCCCACACACTTCCAAGAGCACACGAAGCCTTCCTGAGCATCTCTAAGCTTTTAATATTGGTGAAATCTTTCTTAACGGGATCAGATTGCTAGCCTCAAGCACAACCTACCCTCATTATTGCGTTTACTACCCGCTTAGAGAGGCTTAGGAACGCGTCAGCCGGGAACTGAACCCAGATTATGTGCATGTGTTAGCAAGTGTTTTCCCATGAAATTACCGACTCAGTCATGGCATACAGTGGTACAGTATGAATAACTGGATCATGTAACGACCATAATTTATCGCTGACGTCACCATATCAAGTTGACATACCGTACTTCTACCTTTACAGAATATTTAATCATGAAGTGTGTGTGCAGAAAACTGAGTGATTTCATCAATTGCTTCATTGCACATCAGTTCTTCTTAGAAAATCCCCGGGGAAATAAGTAACGATGAATAGAAGTTGTTTTGCTTTGAGGCTTTCAGGGCTTTCAACAGAGTGAAAACATGACCTCTAGGGAGATCAAATCAAGATTACTAGGTTATCAAGTTACATTTTCAACTTCGAAATCAAATATTATGTTTTGTATGTGTATATATACATATAAATGCAACAATCAAAATGTAGAAATATTTACAAAAATTGAACAGGTGGTTATACGATTCATAATTTTGGGATCGCGCTAAATCACGAATTGGTAGAAGTTAGAATTCATCAACCATTGAATCGCGTCCCAGTGGCTGAATGGTATACGAGCCAGCTTGACTTGTAACCGGAAGGTCCTGGGTTCGAACCTCCTGTGGTGGTTGAGTAATGCCGATGATTCACAAACTAGGATGGAACAGCTGGCTGTCCCTGGTGGTTTTCAATGGTTCTCTAACTGATATCAATCCGTGATCAACTCGTAAAAACATATCTAACCCTTACAAACCAAACTATAGAAAATTAGAGTTCAAATTGATTACTTAAGGAGTAGGTAGAATAATAATAAAATAGGTCACACAAATTGTAGAAGGCTTATGGGGGGTGGGTTGAGGAAATTATCAGTTTTAAACATTTATGTAATGATGATCAAGGTAAGGAAAGTGACTGCACGAATTTCTACTAAACACACAACTCTGTCTTCTTCAGATGGGTTACGATGGCCTCAGATGTATGTAGAAGACGAATTCGTAAGGTGAAATTAAGATTAGTCGGGATACGATAAATTCATTTGAATGCCTTAATAGCACCAACTTTATGCTCGCTACCTACATGGTGAGTTAAAAAATGGATACGAATAGACTTTGTGTGATCCTTGTTTAAATGTGCAGATCGCCTTTAGGAGATCGAACGATGAATATGCCTAAATGTAAACTCAATGCAACTAGCTTTACAGGAGTAGTCTCACTTGTAGATAGACAAAGAAGACGTGAAATTAGGTAGCTGATTCTTATTTCTCAAGCGTAAATTTAACGTAGTTCTGAACACATGGAGTATGTCTGCTTCAACGAATGCTCCTCTTACTGCATTCTTTAAGCGTTGTGTCAATGTTTCACTAATGCTACCACCAAGAAATTGCATTTTTATGAACAAGGATTTCATTGGAACTGTTGACGTACAAACTAACCTTGGAGTTAAATTCATATTTTATTAATAAACTTTTCTGGATATCCATATTTACTCAATAATTCCGTAATAATCTGCAGTTCTTCATTAGGACAGTCATTAGAGCAGATTTCTCCAGTTCTGTGAACTAAACACGTTACTTAGTTTGTATGTCGAAGCCAGAAAACTCAGAAAATGAGTACGCTGACCAATCAATGTAGGAATGAAATACTGTTGTAACTTTAGAAGGCTGGAGACTTGGTAACGGAATGTATATTTGGAATCTGATGTCTCTGTATAGCGAAATTATATACGAGTTGATCACGGATTGACATCAGTTAGAGAACCATTGAAAACCACGGAGTACTGGACAGCTGTTTCATCCTAGCACTTTGGGATCATTGGGAGTACGCACCCACTGGGATTCGAACCCAGGACCTTCCGGTTACAAGGCAAGCTCGTATACCATTCAGCCACTGGGAACCGATTCAATGGCTCATGAATTCTAACTTCCACCAATTCGTGATTTAGCGCAACCCCAACTATTGTCGTTGGTGGGACATCCATCCACACACGTGACATCTAACTGGACCTCACTGATCACGACTTCTCACTAGAATGACTCCAGGAAACTCCATCCTGTAGCAAGTCACTAGCGAGTATCACATTAATTTTCTATAGTTTGGTTTGTAAGGGTTAGTTATGTTTTTACGAAACCTCGCCTAGATTACTAGGTCACTAGTATTCTAGCCGGTCCCAAGCCCGGATAAAGAGGGAGGGTTGGGGCGTGATGGTAGCAACTCCACCCCCAAAACTTAACCAAATTGCTACTAAAACTTCAACGCACAAATATATTCAAAATTCTAAAATTACAAATAGTGATCTTATTTTTCGCTGGAATCGGGGAAGTGAAATGACGCAGGCTGGTGAAAGCCTTCGGGAAGCCAGTCAGCCGATGTGCCTTCTTTCGATGAAAGCGAAAATAAAGGATGGGGACGTGGAATGTTCGTACAATGTACGAAGCTGGGAAGGCTGCTCAGGTAGCCGCAGAAATGAGGAGATATAAAATAGAAGTGTTGGGAATCTGCGAGAGCAGATGGAACGGATGTGGAAGGAGCCAACTATCAACTGGAGAGACAATAATCTACTCCGGTCACCCAGAGGACAATCACGAGCACACCAAGGGAGTAGCCATCATGATGTCACCAACAGCGGCTAAAGCTCTCATGCAGTGGGAACCAATCTCCTCCAGGATAATGACAGCCAGGTTCAACTCAAAAGGAAAAAAGGTTACAATCATTCAGTGCTACGCGCCTACAAACGCCTCAGAACATGAGAAGAAGGAAGATTTCTACAGTCAACTACAAACAGTAATGGACAACGTCCCAAAGAGCGATATCAAAATCCTGATGGGCGACATGAATGCGAAAATGGGAGGAGACAATACAGGAAGAGAACTCACCATGGGTCGTGAGGCCCTCGGTGAAATGAACGAAAATGGTGAACTCTTCTCAGACTTCTGCGACTTCAATGATTTGGTGATTGGTGGCAGTGTGTTCAAACACAGGGATATACACAAGGCAACATGGATTTCACCAGATGGACACACCAAAAACCAGATAGACTTCATTTCAATCTCAAGGAAGTGGAGACGGAGCCTACTGGACACAAGATCGAGGAGAGGAGCAGATGTGGCTTCAGACCACTATCTAGTACAAGGGACTTTCAAGGTGAAGCTGAAAGCCTCGAGGATACCTGGGGATAGGCCACAATGCAAGTTCAACACTCACAAACTGAAGGACACAATCACACAGGACATTTTCACTGCAACGGTCAGAGCAAAGCAGGAAACACTACGTGGCACCACTGAGGAATCATCCGTGGAAGACCATTGGAACTCTCTGAAGGAAATTTTCAACGAAACGTGCTCAACGGTTTTAGGAAGAAAGAAGAAACAAGACAAGGAATGGCTCTCAACAGACACTTGGAAACTAATAGAGGAGAGGAGAAAAGTGAAAGAGAAAATGATTCAATGCAAAGATGGACAAGAGAAAGAGACGCTGAACTCAACTTACACAGCACTGGACAAAGAAGTGAAGAAGAGTGCCAGGAAGGACAAAAGACAATTCTACGACAACCTGGCTACTGAAGCTGAGAAGGCAGCAGGCAAAAGGGACCTGAGGACACTATATCAGATAACCAAGTCTCTATCCGGGAAGAGATCAACACAAGTGAAACCTATAAAAGACAGCCAAGGGAACCCAATTACCAAAGAAGAAAGACAGATTAAACAATGGGCGGACCACTTCAAAGGACTCTTGAACCGACCACCACCTACAACCCGTCCAGTAATACCAACAACAGCACGTACACAACTGCAAGTTGACACCAATCCTCCAACGAAAACTGAAGTCATGAATGCAATCAAGCTTCTGAAAGCTGGAAAAGCAGCTGGACCAGATGGAATACCCCCGGAAGCACTGAAAGCGGACCCAGAAACGACGGCAGATATGCTGACTCCATTATTGCAAAAGATCTGGAAAGAGGGAAAGGTGCCTACTGACTGGAGGAAAGGTTACCTCGTGAAACTACCAAAGAAGGGCGACCTGGGACTCTGCAAGAACTGGCGAGGAATCATGCTTCTGTCGACGCCAAGTAAAATCCTGAGTCGCATCATCCTGGAGAGAATCAAGGACGCGCTGGATACAGAACTCCGACCAGAACAAGCTGGATTCAGGAAAGGCAAATCATGTTCTGACCAAATTGCAACTCTACGCATTATCATCGAACAAAGCATGGAATGGCAATCAAACCTCTACCTCAACTTCATAGACTTTGAGAAGGCCTTCGACAGCGTTGACCACGAAGTAATTTGGAAACTACTCGAGTACTACGGCGTACCGCAAATATTACTCAACCTTATTCAACAACTGTACGACAACGGCACATGTCAAGTGATCCACAACGGAAAACTCAGCGAAGCGTTTGGAGTAAAAACAGGAGTCAGACAAGGGTGCTTATTACCGCCAATGATATTCCTAATTGTGGTGGACTGGATTATGCGTCAGACAGTGGGAAACGAGAAGACAGGGATATCCTGGACCGACGTGAAAAACCTAAAAGACCTAGATTTCGCGCGTGGATGATTTATGTTTGATGTCACACAAACTCGAGGACTTACAAGCAAAAACCGACAAACTGGTCGAAGAAGCAGCAAAGACAGCACTCCAGGTGAACATAGCCAAACAAGACGGAGGTTATGAAAATAACCAACCAACAACAGCAATAACATCCAGCACCAATCACCATCAACGGGAGGGATTTGAAAGAGGTTACTTCTTTCACTTATCTGGGGAGCATTGTCTCAACCACAGGAGGAACGGACGAGGATGTCAAATCGAGAATCGGGAAGGCAAGAAACACATTCATCAACCTGAAACCAATCTGGAAATCTTCGTCACTCACCATCAACAACAAAATTCGGATTTTCAATACAAACGTCAAGTCAATTTTGCTTTACGGATCAGAAACTTGGCGGGTCACCAAGAATATTTTCAACAGGTTGCAGACCTTTATCAACAACTGTCTTCGCTCCATACTGAAGATTAGGTGGCCAGAAAGAATCACAAACAAGAAGCTATGGGAACAAACGAAACAGGAACCAATCGCCCAACAAATATGCAGGAGGAAGTGGAGATGGATTGGACACTCGCTGAGGAGGCCGTTGAGTGACATCGCGCATCAGGCCAGTGCTTGAGTGGAACCCGAAAGGGAAGCGGCGAGTGGGACGTCCAAGGGTGACATGGAGGAGATCGTGTGAGGAGGAGATGAAACAGTATGGAATAACATGGACGCAAGTGAAAAGTACAGCACAAGACAGAAGCAAGTGGAGAAGTGCAGTTGAAGCCCTATGTTCCACTAGGAACCCAAGGGAACAATAATATAATATAATAATAATGTTTTTACGAGTTGATCGCGGATTGATATCAGTTAGAGAACCATTGGAAACCAGGGTTCGAATCCCAGTGGGTGCGTACTGTCGATGATTCCCAAACTAGGATGAGACAGCAGCTGTCCAGTACTCCCTGCTTGTTATCAATGGTTCTCTAACTGATATGAATCCGTACTCAACTCGTAAAAACATAACAAACCCTTACAAACCAAACTATAGGAAATTATATACACTTTTTTAGGAAAATCGTCATTTACACAGATCTTCCGTGTTGGGCTAATTCTGCACTTCATATTTGTGTTTCTTTGTCTTCCTTTCGTGTCCTCCATGTTTCGCCGCAGCACTGGTTCATTTCCTCTCTTTGATGTCAAATCTATCTCTCCGCTACTTGATATTTTTGTGTCGTCTACTTATATACTACTGATATATCTTGTCAGTAGTACACACCACACTATCATTTTTTTCTCTCGATGATAAAATTCATCATAGGATGCACATCATTAAATTTATCAACCATGTTCATTGCTTCATTCTCATCATTCATGCAAAAAGACAACAGAATCTCAGTTGGCTAATTATGAAGTTTTACCTCACGCATACCATTATCAGTTGATTAATACAGTTCGTTACAATTTTTAAGCATAAATTATTACACATTCGTTATCATTATTTTAAAAAAAGTAATTATTTCAACATACTTCTAAAGCAGCTATCGGTTCAGAAGAGGCCAGAAATAATTCTTGTGCAACATTGAATTCTTTTAGAATCATTGCAACATAACCTGCTAATAGCAATCGATCCTCGATGTTTTGAATTCTTTGTACAGCCAGGACAAGGCCAGGATCTTGAAGTGATCGGAAACATCTAACAGCTGAAATAGTAAAGACAAGTTTTGTGTTCTTGATTATTTTAAACGGTGTAATATTTATGTAACGTTTGCAATTTAACATTCAGCATTCTCTTATTTTGGTACATATAAACAAGTACAGAGTGGAGGACATTTAACCCTGTACACTTTTCTGACGACACAATAAATACAACTCAAAAACGTTTCAATCTCACAATGAGATTAGGTGTAGAGTCTCAGACGGTGTTGGCAAGTTGATTAACGAGGTTAAGAAGTTTCATAGATCGAGATAACAAATATATATGTAGTACGCATACAGAACAACCACTTCCCTAGAGGGGCAATTTAAACGGAAGTAGAATTAGGCTCATAAAACTTTATGCTACTGAACGACCGACATGAGCCATATTATTATTATTGTTTCCTTAAATTCCTAGAGGAACATAGGGCTTCAGCTGCACGTCTCCATTGCGTTCGGTCCTCTGCCAACGTTTTCACCTAGCTCCAGATCTGCACACATACTTTCATCTCCTCTTCACACGACCTCCTCCAAGTCACCCTCACACTGACGACCAACTCGCTGCTTCCCTTTCGGGTTCCACTCGAGCAATGGCTTGTCTAGTGATGTCACTTGATGGTTTGGTTTCTCAGAGTATAGCCACTCCACCTCCATTTCTTCCTGCTTGTTTGTTTCACAATAGGTTCTTGCTGGGTTGGTTCGCTCATTGCCAGAGATCCCTGTTGCTGATCTTTTCTGGCCATCTGATCTTGAGTGAACTACTGAGCGAAAACAGTTGTTGATGAAGGTCTGTAGTTTGTTTGAGATGCTCTTTATGACGCACAGTGCAAGTCTCTGAACCATACAGTGAGTAGCACTGACTTCACATTGGAGTAGAAAATCCGGATCTTATTTTTGATGCTGAGTAGTGCTGTTGACCTCCACACAGACTTGAAAGTGATGAAAGCTTGTCTTGCTTTTCCGATTCTTGCTTTGATATCCTCGTCAGTTCCGCATGAGAGATATTATACCACCCATATCAAACAGCACTGCTTGCTAGCCAGCCAAATAGAAATGATCTAAACATCTGACAACAGTTTCGCTCCTTTGGGGCTGAACTCATCATCAGTGTGTTCGGTTTAATTCAGCCAAGAATAGAATCAGTTCAAGCCACTCGAATTCGGGCTAGCTACTTGAGCAAACTGGTAACACCTCAAATTAAATTCTTAATTTGTGGATTAGTTTGCGATTCTAGTTTAGATTGATATGGCTCTGTTAGCTGAGTAGAACGCCTAATGAGCTTGGCCCTAAACGAGCGAGACGGCCGACCGGTGTTTAAACTACTTCGATCTGGCTTCCTGGCAATCACTACTGGTTGATGTGGGTAGTATGAAACTATTCATCTGAATCAACCAATAGTATATAATGTTCAAGTATTGGTTTTGTAGGGATTTTTGTTTGATTGCATGGAGGATTTCATCAGTAACTCATCGAAGAAGACATTGCGAAATGGTCGCGCTATGTCGTGAATTGGCAGAAGTTAGAATTCATGCACTGGCCATTGGATCGGGTCCCAGTGGCCTAATGGTCTACGAGCTCGTTGACCTTGTAACCAGAAGGTCCTGGGTTCGAACCCCTGTGGCGAGTGCGTACTGCTAAAGAGTCCCAAAGTGAGACGAAACAGCTGTCCAGTACTCCCAGGTTTTCCAGTGGTTCTCTAACTGATGTCAGCTCATGATGAAATCCCCCATGCAATCAAGTATATAATGTCACGCATTTACGCTCGGTTTCTTGATTATTATTTATCGCATCAAGCAGATCAAATATTGTGATCGGAATAATTTCAGTTTCTAATGGAAACTGTAGTGAAATTTCACCCTCTCGAACTGTGTAAAATGCAAACTAATTTGCAAATTGTAAATTTAACTTGGGATTAGTTTTGAAAAGGGACCAGATGCTACTAGACTAAAACACAACATAAGTCTTCAAAGACACTGACTCCTGGTTTGGTCCATATGAGAAGATGTAGACCACCTACCATTAATGGGTTTCGCCGAACGCTAAAATTCAGTGGTTAGAGACCGTTAGTGTAGTGCCTCAAAATCACTAACGGTGCTGATGTATTCAATTCTTGTCATCTTTCATAGGTCCTTTATCATACATACCCTTATCCATCCATCTTTCATTTTTGTTTCTATTCCACCGTTTTATTAAGCGTTTTAGAAGTGTAGCCACTTGTGTTCGAAGTCCTACGCTGGTCCGTTATTCAGTGATACCGACCGGTTAGTATGTATTTATTGTCATGGAATCGTGACCGTTAACCTTCTGACTTACTGAGACAGTGTCATTTTTCATTTATTCAATATAAATGACACCATTTGTCAAAATCTACTAATGAATCACTACAGTAATAAAGATTATTAGTTTGTGAAAAGCTAAAAGGGTTATACATTTGTAACAAAATCAATTCAGCCTCTTTAGTGCTCATTTAGTGGACAACTTATTTTTTAATGTGTATCTAACTAACACAAACCGTAGTGAAATAAAACCATAAGTTGACGATAAACTAAAATCGATTTACTAACACTGTTATTTATTGAATGGTGACTGGCAGTGGAATTCACGATGCGCATTTCGTCCCATCCGGGACTCATCGGCTAGATGCATTTGCACTCTCAAGTGAGTGGTGATGTCCCTACCTATCATTTCAAACGCCAAAGCGTTATCCTCAAGCTACTTGGTTATCAGGTCTCGTCGAAGTGTTCATACTAAGGGCCAACATGTCAACAGGGACTGAACATTTAGGTTCAATACAACCAGTCAACAGGGAATACAAATTTAGCTTAATCAAATTACTAACACTGGCTAAACGGGAAATAAACGGATAAATTTTATCTAAAAATCTACTCGAATGACACAATCGTGTAACATGCAGTAAAGAAACATACCACTGCTATATTTTAAAATATCATTTTCCCTCAATGATTTTTGTAAAATTCAATTTTTTTCAAAGAACAGAAAAGACATAAAGATGGAACATATATAGGACATAAGTAAAGTCTCAGTATCACTTTTTAATTTAGGGCAGGTCTGGAAAAAACTCATCAGAAATTAAGGTTGGACTGAACAGCAAAGTGCATACGTGACTTCTCCAGAAGTTAAACTAACAAACTTTAGACAACAATGTAAAGCATGTTTCTATCAAGCCATTGGATCAGAGATGATTGGAAAGTAAAAAGGTCCTAATAAAGTTAAATTTTATTTCTCTTATTTATCAACTGTGTCCTCTTTTCCAACTGAATTTAACTATTTAGGGGTTCACCTTTTACCAAGGAACATTCTTGTGGATTTATAGTATGCAGATGACACAGTCCTTATAGGTGAAGACGCTGACAAAATGAAGAGTCTTCTGCACACCCTGAACAGCAATCTTCGAATGTTTGGCATGCGATTCGCTCACGTCAAATGTCAGATGATGTTACAAGACTGGAAAACATCGACTCCCGCTTAAGGGAGTGAAGTAGTAGAGCGTGTTGACCATTTCACTTATTTAGGAAGCTGTTGCATCAGCCAGCCCCAGCGGACTGATCGCTGACGAAATCTCAGAACGGATACAGAAGGCTCGTGTGGCATTTGTGAACTTATGCCATATCTGGCTGTCGACCAGAGAACGTGTATACTTCAGTTCGCTCTGTCCTCCTTTATGGTTGTGAGGTATGACAGTTGAAAATGGAAGATTTGAACGGGCTAGTTGTCTTTGATCATAGATGTCTGCCTTCTATCTCCCATGTTAAGTGGCATATTGTGACGAGCAACATAGAGGTTAGGCGTCGAGTGTTAGGTAAATTCGGTAAGTCAGTCGATGAAGTTGTGAGGGTAAATCGATTGAGACGAGTAGGAAATGTCGCCGCCTTCCTGATCCAGTAATGTCAGCTGATGTAGGAGTTTGTTGGAAGAGGGTTAGGTGTGGTGTCTGCCTGTTTTCGACATAGAACTTTGCACATATGTGCGACAGTTCAAGTCGCCACACTCCATGTAGCACACAAAGCAACAGAAGAAAGTAGAGGAAATGCATATTAGAGACAGTAAACAGAGGTGTGAGACAAAGGAATAGTAATAACGAAGAACAAAACAGTTTCACTGGAAATCACAAGTCACAAGGAGTGGATGCATCTGTGGCCAGCTATTGAGAACGATCACTTTGAGCCATGTCACCAATTGTTTTCAACCATCGGTTTTTACCGTCCCGAGGACCCCAACCAGCCACGAAGTCTACACCTCCCTACGTGGCTGGCTTAAACTAACTGTTGTCGATTTCATTGACTGGTGCCATGTTTTGGTTTGACCACTGCTAGCTCTTTACCAGCCTGACCCTATATCAGCTAACATTGCCCGTCGAGGTAGGCGATGACTAGGCATACGTAACACATATCTTGACCATCTCAGTCAATGTAATTTCACAACCTCGTCTATTGATTTCCCCTCCTCACCTAGCACTCGATCCGTGCCTAACCTCAATATTGCTTACCTTATTATACCAATTCACACGGGAGATAGAACGCAGACACCTATGATCAGAGACAGATAATCTTTTCATGTCTTCCACTCTCAATGGCCAGGTCTCACAGCCATAAAGGAGGACGGAGCGGACTGCTAAGCAGTACACACGCCCTTTGGTCGATAACCAGTTGGATATCACGTCTACGCCAGAGACGGCGTAAACTGGCATATGAGAAACTGGCCCTCTGTATCCGTGCTAGGATTTCAACGGCGATCAACCCGTTGGGGCTTATGGCACTACCCAAGTAAGTGAAGCGGTCAACGTGCTCTACTACTTCACTTCGGTGTGGTGACACCAAAACCTGGCATCAGTCTATGAAGTCTTTCACTGTTGGTTTTCGCCAGCCATGTAGGAAGGTGTAGACTGTTTAATTGGGGAACAGGATACGTGAAGAACCAATGGCTTGAGACTGTTGGTGATATGGTTCAAAACCGTTCTCAGTCGCGCAGATACATTCACTGTTTCTGACCTTCTATATCCAAATAAAAAATTCTAGGAATAAACCAACCAAGAAACCACTGCTCAGCAAATATGCCGAAGAAAATGGAGATGGATAGGACACACACTGAGAAGACCGTCGAATGATATAGCGTGCCAGGCCAGCCCTCGGGTGGAAATTAAATGGAAAACGACAAGTTGGGTGTCCAAGGGTGACATGGAGGAGATTTTGCAAGAGGTAGATGAAGGACTATGGGGGCCAGCTAAACAGGACTGTACAGAATATGATAAAGTGTAGACGTACTGTTCCACTCCGTAGAGCCAAGGGAACAATAAAATAATATCAGTTAAACCCTAATGCTTCTTCATGTTGCTGTTCTTTCTCCCCTACATTCCTGCTCCCTTTTCTCTACCTTTATGTGATACATGGGGTGCGACAACTTGAACCGCTGCAAAGTGCAAAGTTCTATGTTGAAACTCACTAGTCTTCCAAAAACTGCAGAAGCTACCTAAGTTCAAAAGGAATCAAACTAGTTTCAGTTATTTTTAATTTCCCGCGGACTGCTTATATTCTGTTGAAATGCTGAGTTTAACAATGCGACCTAGCATTTTAGTGGATAGCACTTTGGAATTTGAAATGATGGGTACTGGCTCCAAAGTCCCAGTAGGAAAACCACCACTCACTGGGGCTGCGAGTATATCCAGATGACGAGTCAAAAATGGGACGAAACACGAGTCCTGGATTCTATTGCTATTCACCACCGACCAAGTGGGCACCAAATTTAACCACAGTATACAGTATCCTAGGCTCAGTAATCATGCACAGACTAAGCCGAACTCGGGAGGAACAAACGAGGGATAATCAAGCAGGCTTTAGGCCAGGTAGAGGGTGCATAGATAATATCTTCACTCTCCGACAGATCCTAGAACATAGACACACTTTTAGGCGTCCAACAATTGCCATATTTCTTGACTTGAAGGCGGCCTTCGACTCCGTGGATCGAGAGGTTCTATGGCAATGTTTGACTGTGAAGGGAGTGCCAAGAAAGTACATTGCACTAATCAAGGCACTCTACTCAAACTCAGGTAGCCATGTAAGGGCTTATGAAGAATTGTCGTCTGATTTGATAACAACCAGTGGTGTCCGTCAGGGATGTCCACTTTCCCCATTTCTGTTTAACTTCATCATAGATATGCTAATGGAAGTATCCTTAACTGAACTTAACGACTTAGGAATCGACTTGTTACCAGGGAATAGTCTTATCGACTTAGAATATGCAGATGACATAGTCCTGTTAGGGGAGGATGCTGACAAAATGCAGAGTCTTCTGAACACCTTGAGCTGCAATCTTCGTATGTTTGGCATGCGATTCGCCCCTGTAAAATGTAAGATGCTGCTACAGGACTGGACTACGTCAACTCTTAGCTTAGTGATAGGGAGTGAAGTGATAGAACATGTTGACCACTTCACCTACTTGGGAAGTTGTATCAGCACCAACGGACTGATTGGCAACGAAATCTCAGCACGGATCCAAAAAGCTCGAGCTGCTTTCGCTAACTTACGCCATCTCTGGCGTAGGCGTGACATCCGGCTATCAACCAAGGGACGTGTGTACTGCTCATCAATTCGCTCCGTCCTTCTCTATAGCTCTGAAACATGGCCAATACGAGTTGAAGACATGAAAAGGTTGACTGTTTTTGATCATAGATGTCTACGATCTCTCTCTCGCGTTAGGTGGTATAATAAGGTAAGTATTGTTGACGTTAGGCGTAGAGTGATGGGCAAAGAGGGAAAATCAATCGAAGAGGCTATAAAGTTACATAGATTAAGATGGCTAGGTCACGTGCTGCGTATGCCTAGCCATCGCCTCCCCCGACGGGCACTACTAGCTGATATAGGAGCAGGTTGGAAAATAGTAAGTGGTGGACAAACAAAAACATGGCATCATCAATCCATGAAATCCTTAACAGTTAAACTGAGTCAGGCAGGGAGATGCAGACTTCCGGGTTGGGGCCCTCGGGACTCTAAGAATCAATGGCTGGAGACAATAGGTGACATGGCTCAAAATCGTTGTCAATGGCTTACGCAGATGCATTCAGTCTTTGTAATCTTTCATATTTCTTTCTACCATTACCCACTCTGTTTCACTCTCATACTTGTCGAAACTCTATTGATTCTCTTCACTCATTTTCTTGTCTACCTTTGTGTGCTATTTGGAACGCGGCAACTGGAACTGCTGCACTTCGGTGCCAAGTTCTATGTTGAATCCAGACAGACAGACAGTATACAATGGAATAGTAATATGTATAGAATCACTCCTTGATGAGAGAAAATATATTAATGGATTTCACTGACTCATACCTATACGAAACAATCTCCGATAACCAATCAAACGTATGATCATTATTTGTATTCACATATCTAATTACTTGTTACCTGAAAAACAATCTGAAATGTCTCCGACAAATGTCATTGTAAGGCACATAGAGTATGGCGCTTTGACGTTCCAGTAACAGTGGTGTTCATTTTTCTGTAGGGTGGGGTTTCTAGCCTCACACCTAACCTTCCCTCTTTAGCGGTCCTACTAACAGCTAAACGAGTTTAAGGAGTGTGTCGGCCAACGGTCGAACCGCGGACCAGGTGAGTGGTTCGCGAGTAGTTTACCAGTGAACTATCAACGCACGTGTGTGTGTGTGTGCTAACAACGACATCTATGAAGGATGAATAGCTAAGGGACAACTAATCAACTGCTTACTCATATATGTATAGTCTAGCTATTGAGAAAATCCTACAGAACGAAATCGACAGTACAAGTTAGCCATGCATTTCAAGATAGGATTCAGTGACATTCTGAATTAGTTCCCATAATTGCAGATAAACTGGTGAAACCACACAAGGCATTCTCAGAATAGTTTTTTTTTTTCTTTCAAATACACTGACTTGTAACTCTGTTCATGCTCATAAAAATTTTCTTAAATATCTACAAATGTGTTCGCATAACGATAAGAATCTAATATAAAAGAGAATTAATTTAGGTTTAAAAACTTTATCTTACCCATATCGAACTTCATTACACGTAAACAACTCATGCCCAATAGATTCCATATATGATGTGAATCTAATTGCTTGGCAAATATCTCTGCATCCTCAAAGCAACCAGCTTTTAAAGCTTGTTCAAAATAGGTAAGCATCTAAAATAATTTGAACAGAAATAAGATAATAATTTGTTTAAGATAGAAATCGTTAGTGTCTGCTAACATGCCAGCTCCTAGTACGGACGCTTCAGCAATGTCTGAGGATTAACTCTATGCTATTTGGTGGTTGGTGACTGGCGGTAGAATCCAGAATGCGCATTTCGTCCTATTTGGTATTCATCCACTGGATGTATCTGCGATCGCCAATGAGTGATGGTATCCCCAGTGAGACTCAAAGCCAGCAACAGTCATCTCAAAGGTCAAAGTATTATCCACTAGGCCACTTGAACCACGAAAGATGGCTCCTCTGGTGCATTCCACCGCCAGTTAACATCCACCAAGTAAGAAGTGAAATTAGTCATTTCTTTGTTGACATAAAGTGACTTATATTTTTTTACGAGACTGTACCTACCTATGCCAAATTACCGGAAGAAACCTTGTTATCCTAATTAAATTTACCGGCTGAAATATACCTGTAACACAACTGATATTTCGCTTGTTAATAATAATAATTATTATTATTGTTCCCTTGGGTTCCTAGTGGAACATAGGGCTTCAACTGCACCTCTCCACTTGCTTCTGTCTTCTGCTGTACTTTTCACTTGCATCCATGTTAATACATACCGTTTTAATTCCTCTTCTTACGATCTCCTCCATGTCACCCTTCGACATCCCACTCGCCGCTTCCCTTTCGGGTTCCACTCAAGCACTGGCCTGATGCGCGATGTCAAACAGCGGCCTCCTCAGCGAGTGTCCAATGCATCTCCACTTTCTCCTGCATATTTGTTGAGCGATTCGTTCTTGTTTTGTTTGTTCCCATAGTATCTTGTTGGTGATTATTTCCGGCCATCTGATCTTCAGTATAGAACGAAGACAGTTGTTGATAAAGGTCTGCAACAGGCTGTTGGAAATATTCTTTGTGATGCACTGGCCAAGTTTCTGATCCGTATAGAAGAACTGACTGACTTGAAGTTTGTATTGAAAATCCGAATTTTGTTGTTGATGCAGGCTGAGTGACGAAGATTTCCAGATTGGTTTCAGGTTGATGAATGTGTTTCTCGCCTTCCCGATTCTCGATTTGACATCCTCGTCCGTTCCTCCTGTAGTTGAGACAATGCTACCTACCTAGATAAGTGAATGAAGTAACCTCTTTCAAATCCCTTCCGCTGATGGTGATTGGCGCTGGATGTTATTGCTGTTGTTGTTGTTGGTTGGTTATTTTCATAACCTCCGTCTTGTCTATGTTCACCTGGAGTCCTGTCTTTTGGCTGCTTCTTTGACCAGTTTGTCGGTTTTCGCTTGTAAGTCTTGTTAATAATTAGTCGCTTTATATTAGATATTTGCGTATCAACCCGTCACAATTTTCACCCTCTAGATGATAGATTAATTTTTGTGGTTCATAATAAGTTTGTTGACCTATTTACATCTAATCACTTCCGGTTTCTTACCCTGGTGTTGATTCATACTCGAATAATTGTAACTCTCGATGTATTTGTTCACATATATTACAAATGAAGTTTTCATTTGCACATATATGGTAACTAAGTTTATAAAGTAAGCAAGTGATATTATTCATGGCAATATTTTCAGTAGTATATATATACAATCATGCGACTTTAGTCGCTATTTTGATTAATCTCATCTGAATAACCTCGGTTTCTAAGGGAAGCTGTAGTAGTGACATTTCACCTCCAACTGTACAGTTTGCAAATGGCAAATTAGATTCTATGCATTAGCCTCCATATTGGTTTGTTTATTAGATGTATCACACAGTGAAACAGTATTATTACTGTTATTATTAATGTGTGATATATCTAATAAACAAATTAATATGTTTGGATAACGTTATTAGAAGACGGAGATTATCTGAAAAATATGTGATTTATTTGCGCTATACATTTCGAACAATGTGATCACATACTTACTTGTCAAGTCGATATACATATAATAAATGTCTATTTGAGAGGATTCAGCGTATTTGTACGGCTGACGTTATAGACAAAGAAAACGAAATACTGATGGATACTCTTGTTGAAAACGGATATCCTTTAAAATTTTTAAACAGGTGTAGAAGTCAATTAGTCTCTAAACCTACAATCCATACCGTCCCTAAGAAAAAGGTTTTCATCAAATTACCATATAACGGGGAAATAAACAGTAGGATTTTGAGACAAAGATTGAATTCGATCATCCGTAGAACCTACTACGCAGCCCAGCTTATAATTGTCGAAAAAGCTAAAAATATGCTCCACCGCAAACCTCAAAAGTGCACAAGTGATTATTCCACATCCCACACACTATTTACCAATTTTCATGTGTGCGTGGTCACACATACATAGGGAGGAGTAATCGCGTTTTACATGTGAGGGTAGGAGAGCATATCCCAAAATGGCTAGAAAAACAAATGAATTGTGAAAAACCTATAGATGCAGGTGTCAGACTACCAACCTCGTCTATAGCTAAACACCTAATCGAGATTTAGTAATTTAACTTTTTCATGTATATCGACTTGACAAGTAAGTATGTGATCACATTGTTCGAAATGTATAGCGCAAATACATCACATATGTTTTCAGATAATCTCCGTCTTCTAATAACGTTATCCAAACATATTAATTTGTTTATTAGATATGTCACACATTAATAATAACAGTAATAATACTGTTTCACTGTGTGATGCATCTAATAAACAAACCAATATGGAGGCTAATGCATAGAATCTAATTCGCCATTTGCAAACTGCACAGCTGGAGGTGAAATGTCACTACTACAGCTTCCCTTAGAAACCGAGGTTATTCAGATGAGATTAATCAAGATAGCGACTAAAGTCGCATGATTGTATGTATATATACTACTGAAAAATATTGCCATGAATAATATCACTTGCTTACTTTATAAACTTAGTTACCATATATGTGCAAATGATAACTTCATATGTAATATATGTGAACAAATGCATCGAGAGTTACAATTATTCGAATATGAATCAACACGCAGATAAGAAACCGGAAGTGATTAGATGTATGTAGGTCAACAAACTTATTATGAGCCATAAAAACTAATCTATCATCTAGAGGGTGAAAATTGTGATGGGTTGATACACAAATGTCTAATATAAAGCGACTAATTATTAACAAGCGAAATATCAGTTGTGTGTTACAGGTATATTTCAGCCGGTGAATTTAATCAGTATAACAAGGTTTCTTCCCGTAATTTGGCATAGGTAGGTACAGTCTCGTGCGTTGAAGTTTCTGTAGTGATTTGGTTAAGTTTTGGGAGTGGAGTTGCTAGCACCACGCCCCAACCCTCCCTCTTTATCCGGGTTTGGGACCGGCTAGAATACTAGTGAGCTAGTAATCTAGGCGAGTCAAGTCAGTTATTCTATACGGATCAGAAACTTGGCGGATCACAAAGAATATTTCCAGCAGCCTGTTGCAGACCTTTATAAACAACTGTCTTCGCTCTATACTCAACATCAGATGGCCGGAAAGAACAAGAACCAACAAGAAACTATGGGAACAAACGAAACGAGTGCTCGAGTGGAACCCGAAAGGGAAGCGGCGAGTGGGACGTCCAAGGGTGACATGGAGGAGATCGTGTGAAGAGGAGGTGAAACAGTATGGACTAACATGGATGCATGTGAAAAGTACAGCAGGAGACAGAAGCAAGTGGAGACGTTTAGTTGAAGCCCTATGTTCCACTAGGAACAATAATAATATATTAATCTCCTACCCTCACATGCAAAGCGCGATTACTCCTCCCTATGTATGTGTGACCACACACACATCAAAATTGGTAAATAGTATGTGGGATGTGACATAATCACTTGTGCACTTTTGAGGTTTGCAGTGGAGCATATTTTTAGCTTTTTCGACAATTATAAGCTGGGCTGCATAGTAGGTTCTACGGGTGATCGAATTCAATTTTTGTCTCAAAATCGTACTGTTTATTTCCCCGTTAAATGGTAATTTGATGGAGATATTTTTCTTAGGGGCGGTATGGATTGAAGGTTTAGAGGCTAGCTGACTTCTACACCTGTTTAACAATTTCAAAGGATATCCGTTTTCAACAAGAGTATCCATCAGTATTTCGTTTTCTTTGTCTATAACATCAGCCGTACAAATACGCTGAATCCTCTTAAATAGACATTTCATATGTATATCGACTTGACAAGTAAATGTGTGAGGGATCAGATTGTTCGAAATGTATAGCGCAAATACATCACATATGTTTTCAGATAATCTCCGTCTTCTAATAACGTTATCCAAATTTATAAAAGGGACTAATTGTTTTAAATTAATAGGTAATTACATACTACTGATTTCCTACAAACTGGAAGACATGCAAGCGAAAGACAAGAAGTTAGCAGAAGAAGCATCAAAGATAGGACTTCAGGTGAACATAGAGAAAACAGAGGTGATGAAAATTCCTGGGCAACACCACCAACAGCAACAACAACAACAACTGACAACAATCAGCATAAATGGAAGGAACCTGAAAGAAACAACCTCCACTACCTACCTGAGAAGCATCGTTTCAACTACAGGCGGAACTGAGGAGGATATCAAAGCAAGAATCGGGAAAGCAAGACAAGCTTTCACTACTCTCAAGTCTGTGTGCAGGAGGTCAACAGCACTCAGCATCAAAAATAACATCCGGATTTTCAACTCCAATGTGAAGTCAGTGGTACTATACGGATCAGAGTCTTGCACTGCACGTCATAAAGAGCATCTCAAACAAACTACAGACCTTCATTAACAGCTGTCTTCGCTCAATACTCAAGATCAGATGGCCGGCCAGAAAAGATCAGCAACACGGATCTCTGGCAATGAGCGAACCAACTCAGCAGGAACCGATTGTGAAACAGATAGGCAGGAAGAAATGGAGGTGGATTGGCCATACTCTGAGAAATCATACCATCAAGTGACATCACTAGACAAGCCATTTCTCGAGTGGAACCCGAAAGGGAAGCAGCGAGTTGGTCGTCAGTGCAAGGGTGACTTGGAGGAGGTAATGTGAAGAGGAGATGAAAGCGTGTGGGCGGACATGGAGCCAGGTAAAGACTCTAGCAGAGAACAGAACGCAATGGAGACGCACGGCTGAAGCCCTATGTTCCTGTAGGAATTATAGGATACAATAGTAATAATAATACATACATACTACCACAGTGCCCAAGTTTTACACATATATTAATCTAGCTAGCACTAGCTAGTCGTCACCACAGTAGCTAGTCAGAAGCCGGATAGTTCAGTCTATAAGCTGAGTCTTAACCTGGTAGAGCGCTGACAACCTAGGCCTCAAACGACCAAAACGACTGTCTGGGTGGCAAGCTCTACCGGTTGACATGAGCTGTCTCCTACCACTCATATCAACCAATCAATCAGTAGTGTATATCAACATGCATTAGAACATTTCAACGAGATGTCATCACTTTTTTCCTATAAATAATAATTGGAGGAACCGAATACATTAGTACATTAGTAAATCTCAAAAAAGTAAAAAAGAACAAATGTTTGACTTTAGGTGTTCAGTGAGTAATTATTGACGAAGACTGGTCCGTGTTACAGTGAGCCTTAAAATCTCGGTTCATTGCATATGATTTTCAGAATACTGATTATATTCTGCAGAATGAATTCCCCCAAAACACCTTTCTAATTTGTCTGTTCACATTTTGAATTTTGCAAGGATCTTGATTTCATCATGAACCAACCATTGAACACCAAGCAGCACTGGACGGTTAGTTTACCTCCGACCTGAAACTCTCCAGTAGTGCGGATCCACAACGCCACCAGGATCTTCAGGTTAAGAGGCAAAACCGATGACCAGTCAGACACTGATTTGTAACTAAATGACCCATGAATCCTAACTTCTGTCACTTTGCGATATAGCGTTACAACCAATCAATGCCATCAAGGGGGCTCCGCTCCACTCTGATGCAGTGGACTCCACTGGCCTTAAATGCTCATTAGAACTTCAGGATACAGTAACACCACCTAGTGACCTGGCGATTTATATTTAGATTGCTTGGTTCTGTAGGGATTGAAATCGGTTTCGACCCTGAAGTTTCTTGGTTCTTTCCCTCCTTGTGGTCACAGATGCTCATTGTTGTGGAGTCCGAGGCTGGGACGAAATAGCTGTCTAGTGCTTTTTTGGTTTTTAATGATTCTCTAACTTGTCTACTTATTCGTATTAACAGTTCAACTGTCGACTTCTTTCTGTTCAATCACCTAACTACTCACAATCACTTCAGTAGTAAGTTGGTTGTGTGTCCGATTAATAAGAATATGCAAAACGTTGTTGAGGGGAAAACTGATATGGCTGTTGATTACACTTGGTAGTTGCGCTACCCAATTTCCTAACCAATCAATTTGTGAGCCTACTATCTTAACTAATATAAGCCACAACAACACGATACGATACTAGAGAAACCGCGACGCAAGAAGATAAGAAGAGAAGACAGACCGTTGACGTAGAAAGCCTTTGCCGTCTCGTATCAACAGTTAAATTGGCTAACAGAGCTTGCGTATATATATATAGTATATATATACTTTGAATGACCTTGAGGGAGCTTAACTATGTCTATAAATCAAAACAGTCAACAGCCAATAGAATCCCAAGGTCATAAATTGGGTGAGGGAAATACAACCAGCAATGTAAAGATAAATGTAGTATCTTAGAAAATTTAGGTCTACGTAACAAAAACAACACGAAATAACTTTATACACTCTTGGGACTCACTTCTTGATATGACAGTTTTTTTAATCCTGTTCCTTCAGTATCTTTTTTAGCAGAACGCCTTTGTGAACTATTATTATTATGATACTTTGTGTTTTCAACTGCCGATATATTCAAGTTCATATTGTCTTGTTCTGCAACTATTGTGTAAAAATAAATATATATCATATAGAATTTAAATAAACATTTATGAAAAAATACGAATCTACCATAGACTCGAAATTGATGAGTTGTCAGCGGTTGGTGAAATAAACGTCCAGTTGGGCTAAGCATACACAATTCACCATTGATAACGCATAGCGGTAAGTGACCATAGGGTAGACGTGTAACTCCAACTAAATGGCATTTTCCAACTTAAAATAAACAGAGAAAAGAGAGAAATTTTAGAAAGAATGAGTTGTTTCATATTTTACATAAAAAATAGAGTTTATTACAAATAAAAATGAATTTAGGAATATTATACTTGGCAACACTTCGGGAGAACATAGGAAAAACAGGGATCATAAAGACATCCACCATACAACAACAAACACCAATTATTATCAGTGGGGTAAATCTGAAGAAAGGTGACTTTTACATATCTGGCTAGGTAATATTGTTTCAACCGAAGGCAGCACGGATGAAGATATTGAAGCTAGCCAGGATCAAGAAAGAAAGACAGGTGTTCATCACTCTGAAATCTATATGGTTCAGAAACTTCGAGTAGGTATCACCTGGAAGCGTCTTCAACAGGCTGCTGACTTTCATCGACGTCTGTCTTCTTTCACTACTGAAGATCAGAGGGCCACCTTGAAAGCATCAACAATAAGAGACATTGACAGTGAACCAGCCAACATCCTAGTGCCTGTTGGTGTTAGATTGTTGGAGGCAATCGGTAGGAAGCCTTGTTGACACTCATCGGCCAACAAGGCGTATCTGCAACCTTGAAGGATCTGATGTGCCTTCTGAGACTCGATCACGCGTCACTCAGTGCTGCGGTCTCAGTCAAATATGAATATGGGAGTGGAGGTGGATTGAGACTATCAAATGACGTCACATGGCATACGCTCAAATGGAACCCGAAGCGGAAGCGACGAGTTTGGCGTCCGAGAATAACATGACTAAGATTATATGAGGAGGAGATGAAAGCTTATCGGCAGGTAAGAGTGATTACAGAGAACATAGTAGAATTGAGATGTGTTGCTGAAGTTCTCTGTTCCACTCGAAATACATGGGAACAATTATAATTAAGATTTCCAAGTATTGGTTTTGTAGGGATTTTGTTTGATTGCATGGAGGCGTTCATCATGAACTGACATCAGTTAGAGAACCACTGGAAAACCTGGGAGTACTGGACAGCTGTTTCGTCCTAGTTTGGGACTCTTCATCAGTACGCACCCAAACTAGGACGAAACAGCTCTCCAGTACTCCTAGGTTTTCCAATGGTTCTCTAACTGACGTCAGCTCATGATGAAATCCTCTATATAATTAAGATAAGTTTCACACTCGCGGTGTGTGCCAATTACAAGTAGTACACAGAGGAATGTCTCCGAAGTAAAAGTTACTGAGAAGAAACGCGGTAAAAAGCTAACAGCTCTAAGAATAGCCGAATAAGCAATAGACAGCGAGGAATAAAATATGCCTATACAAAATGGATGGTATTATTTGTAAGTACTCAGATTAATGTAAGGTTTGTAATTCTCCTGATGTCCATTATGTGTTTTTCCTAATAAACATTAGATTTACGCTCATGAGTCTCTTTCTCTTCATAATAACATTCCATATCACAACTCATCTTAGCAATTTACCTATTAATTCTTGGAGTTTTTCCTCTTTATTGTATAAAACAGGAAGAGCATTAGCGTTGAATGACCGCCGAACGAAAAGAACAACCATTTGAGGTCAGTCATACATGATCTGTTTGGAGTGATTTTTGGCGCTGCGTAAGTAGGTAGAAAGGCCTTACTGCCTGCTACGGATTGTCGGAGAGAAGTTAGGATACAGAAATTTGGTGTTGACTCTTCCTTAGTTTCTCTCTCCAGAGCATGGAGGCAGGATAGATAACTAGCTACCTCTTTTACACCCCTGTCCGCTGGCAATATGACTTCGCTAGCAGATCCCCCCCCCCTGCCAAGACAGTGCAAACAACTTAAACTTGTACATCTCGTTATTTCCTCCTTTTTGACTTGACTCAACAGGTTCTTATTCTATAATGTAGTAGATTATTGTATTACACTGTTCAAAACCCCTAAAAGTTATCAGAAATGATTATCAGAAAGAAACTTCGGTCTATAATCAAAGATAGTAGTAATGTTACATTTTAGTGTGACCCAAACTCAGTGAGATATCTATGCTTATACCTTACGCATTCTAATCACCCACTGATACAATAGTTATGTCATTTTGATTGATGCTGGCTAACAATAGAATCCAGGTTGCGTGTTTTGCCCTACTTTGCGACTCTTCATCCGTATGCACCTGTATTCCAATGGGTGCTGGTCATCCTAATAACATTAATTATAACTTATTTTGTACAGAAATACAGTCTGTAAGCATATTCAGCTGATAGTTCAATGAGACATAAAAGTAAAAAAACAAACAATTCACTCATCATTAAATCAAGCTTAAAATTGTCTCAGATAAAAGCTTACAAGTAGCTCCAGTGACTAGTTCATTTGAATCAGGTTGATTCGTAGTGGTGGAAACTGTTGTACCCGTACTGTTACCGCCATTAACACCAATATTTATAAAATCACCGGTACCATCAATAGTTGTAGTTGAACTTTTAGGCAGGTTATTTACACTCTGTTTACTTGACGGCATTATATTATTCTTCTGTTGACTATCAGATATTGACGATTTAATCAGTACACATTCATTCATAAAGTAACGGTATACACTTATACGTAGATTATCGTAAGCGATAATTAAAGGCTAAAAAAAAAGAGTATTTAAGTTGATAAATAAAATATAAATGAAAGAAAGGCTCTTAAGTATGATAGCAGTAGAGACAAAAGAAAGAGATGTTGGTTGAAGCTTCGACTATTATAACAGCCTTAGACAGTGAGTTGTGTTTATATTTGTGAGTCAGTGATTCAATGATACAATGCTAGACCAATCACTGAAATGGTCCCGATTCGATTCCAAGTCGACAAGCTTCCAAACATCGCCTACTTTACACTAATCGGTATTAAGTCCTGGCAACTCTACGCGTCATCATCGAACAAAGCATGGAATGGCAATCAAACCTCTACCTCAACTTCATAGACTTTGAGAACGCCTTCGACAGCGTTGACCGCGAAGTAATTTAGAAACTACTCGAGCACTACGGCGTACCCCAAATATTCATCAACCTTATTCAACAGCTGTACGACAGCGGCACATGTCAAGTGATCCACAACGGAAACCTCAACGAGGCGTTTGGAGTAAACACAGGAGTCAGACAAGGGTGCTTATTATCACCAATGATATTCCTAATTGTGGTGGACTGGATTATGCGTCAGACAGTGGGAAACGAGAAGACAGGGATATCCTGGACCGACGTGAAGAACCTAGAAGACCTGGATTTCGCGCGTGGATGATTTATGTGTGATGTCACACAAAATCGAAGGCTTACAAGCGAAAACCGACAAACTGGTCGAAGAAGCAGCAAAGACAGGACTCCAGGTGAACATAGACAAGACGGAGGTTATGAAAATAACCAACCAACAACAACAGCAGCAGCAACATCCAGCGCCAATCACCATCAACGGGAGGGATTTGAAGGAGGTTACTTCATTCACTTATCTAGGGAGCATTGTCTCAACTACAGGAGGAACGGACGAGGATGTCAAATCGAGAATCGGGAAGGCGAGAAACACATTCATCAACCTGAAACCAATCTGGAAATCTTCGTCACTCAGCCTGCATCAACAACAAAATTCGGATTTTCAATACAAACGTCAAGTCACTTCTTCTATACGAATCAGAAACTTGGCGAACCACAAAGAATATTTCCAACAGCCTGTTGCAGACCTTTATCAACAACTGTCTTCGTTTTATACTGAAGATCAGATGGCCGGAAAGAATCACCAACAAGAAACTATGGGGACAAACAAAACAAGAACCAATCGCTCAACAAATATGCAGGAGAAAGTGGAGATGGATTGGACACTCACTGAGGAGGCCGCTAGGTGACATCGCGCGTCAGGCCAGTGCTCGAGTGGAACCCGAAAGGGAAGCGGCGAGTGGGACGTCCAAGGGTGACATGGAGGAGATCGTGTGAAGAGGAGTTGAAACAGCATGGACTAACATGGATGCAGGTGAAAAGTACAGTAGAAGACAGAAGCAAGTGGAGACGTGTAGTTGAAACCCTATGTTCCACTAGGAACCCAAGGGAACAATAATAAGGCGAAAGGTTCGGCGTGAAGTTAGAAAGTGTACTCCGAAGAAACAATACCACCACTATTGAAAATCTAGAGATTGAAACCGTGTGGTCTAGTCAGAATTTAATAAAATGAAAAAACACATTTATTTGATGCGCTCATTTTAAACTAGTTATCAAATATTTGCCCTCATGATTTTACAGACGAGAAAAGACATCTACTTGCAGCTTCTGGACACACAATGAACTCGCAAACCAACTTCAGAGTAGTCTACAGAGTACGTGGAAATCTTGCCAATGAAACATAAATTAAACTTCTTCAAACCGCATAAGCTATGACAGTCTATACGTTAAATCCTGATATCTCCATACAAAAGAAGTTTGTTCACTTGCTGAACCTAGAGTGGAACTAAATTTTTCTTAACACTGAAGGCGTAATTTCTGTTAATCCTAATTTTTTAGTGCTTTTAATTATACTACTTTTCACGGGATTGATCACAAGCTGATATCAGTTAGAAAACCATTGGAAAACCTGTGAGTACTGCACAGCCACTTCGTCCTAGTTTGGAACTCCTCATCAGTACGCGCCTACTTCCAGGGTTCGAACCCAGGACCTTTTGGTTGAATGACGACTCCGTAAACCATTAGGCCATAGGGACCCAACAATCCACCGACCCATAAATTCCAACTTCTGCCAGTCCACGATATAGTGCGACCACTGGCCAATATCATCGGCGATTAATTGTCTTCACACCTGACCTGCTGTACCCCCTGGTCACAAATTCCCACTAGAACCCAGGTTACTACCTACCTGAATAGGGCTGATCACTAGCAAGCATCAGATTGATATTCAAAACAATTCTGTACAAATGCGATTACACAGTTACGTAAATGAAACTGCAGAGAAAGATTTTTCACTGAACAACCTGCTCTTCTGTCATTAATTTGCAATTGAATTGAATTAATCCATTTCTAACCGATAGGAGATCATATATGTAGTTGGTTAGTGACAAAAGCACGTTGTTATCCGTCACTAGGTATCTGTATCACCTCTGTCTCCTCTATTTTTAATTGAAGTTCAGTATTCACTGCTTTTTCTACCGATTTTTTTTGGTTTTCATCTGTAGATCCTCTAGTTTGTTTGACATTAGACATAAATTATCCTCACAAGCCGATCTTCTGCAGTCTTTTTGTTCTCCTAACGTATTCCTGACTTCTCACTCCCCACGGTCGGTTTCATGATGTAGTCAACCACAGTCATGAATATCATCGGTAACCACAGTAAACAAGTATCTTTCGGGCATCCTGGATTCCAATGCTAGTCACCATCCACCAGTTAACATCTAATTAAATGCCCAGACATCGTCGAAGCATCTGCTCAAGAAGCCGACATGTCAACCTGAGACCGAGCACTTTGGTCCAATCAGTCGACGGGAAAATCTTAAATTAAATTAACATGACCCGTTGCACAAGAGGTGGCTCTCGTGCTCCAAGTGGCCTAGTGGGTAACGCTTTGGCGCTTGAAACTATGAGCATTGGGTTCGAGCCTCGGTGGGAACATCACTCACTGGGAAATGCAGGTGCATCCAGTGATGAGTCCTAAATAGGACGAAATGCGCATCCTGGATTCCACTGCTAGTCACCATCCACCAATTAAATTCAAATATTACTACCTTAGCAATTTTTCACAGCTCAATTTGGAAACACACAGATTATCAGTCTTTGTTTGAATACATGTCGCCTGCATAAAAACATTGGCATGATTGTGAATGTATCTCATCCAGTGACGAAAACTGAGTTTATGTCGCGTATTACAATACAAAACGCATAGGATAAAACAGGTCTCGTGCAGTTCAAATTAAACATCATGGCTCACATTAAGTATCACAGAATAGCCAGACTGTAATCATTGATATTTTCAAAACAAGACCAAAAAGGTAGTACGGTATACAGTAAACTTAATGAAAATAAATATAGAAAACAATAATTATTTGTTTTAAATATTCAAAATGGATTAACTTGCATTTTCCGTATCTTTTAAATCCCATAAAATATTCGTCACTGAAGGACAAAATTCAGGAATCTCGATAAGTTGATCATTGACCTTTAATGATGAAAAAACATAAGCAAATTAAAGTCGAGATAAGTATAGGTAAAGTTTTGTTAAATATAAGATTAGTTTGCAAAGTTACATCTGGTAATAACAAGAAAGCACTAAGTGGAAAGAATGACATTTTTTCATTTCTTTGCGTCCCGACTGGAACATAGGGCTTCAATCTCAAGCTTTGCATCCCCGACACCATAAAAGATGAACTGGACAATCTCAAGAGAATCCTCGTCGAGAATTGTTATCCAGAACGATTTATTGCAAAATCTATGAATCCTAGACCACAAAAGCCGCCCATGCTTAGCGTCCCGAAAAAACTACTCTACATGAACCTTCAATTCAATGGAGATTTATCTGCGGAAACACTGAAAAATCGACTGTCGCGCTCACTTAAGAAGACCTTCTTCGCAGCTGAACTACGACTAACCTTCTCCACAAAACCTATGATTCATGTGAACGTGAAGGATAAGCTACCACTGCTGGCCTCATCAATGTGAATTTATCAATTCACCTGCTCGTGTGGAGCCAGGTATGTCGGCCGTACCCAGCGTTCGCTTTTCAAACCTATCAACGAACACTTACCAACATGGTTTTACAAAGGAGAAAAACGATGCCCCCGCAGCTCCATCTTAGAACATCTGATAGATTCCGGACACCAAGCTACACCCCAAACAAACTTCAAAGTCGTCTACAGAGTAAGAAGTAGTCTTCCTAAAGGTGTACGAATCAGACTTCTTCAAAGTGCAGAAGCAATGGCGATTCACTTGCTAAGTCCTGAACTCTGCATACAGAAGAAGTTCGTTCAATCACTACACTTGTAATGGACGTAATCTATCTTATTACCCGACAAGTAAATTCTACCTAATCTTTTTCTCTTCTGTCTCTTCATTAGTATTATTTTGTCTTTTCAATTGTAATATTTTACATTTTCAACCTTCCTGTTCTCTACCCCCACCCGATTTAATTTCTGCACCTCACTACCACTGTTACTGACTTGACCAACGCTCAATTTCTAGTCATTTATGTTACGTCATCCAATTTATTTGCTCAATTTCAGTTCTAATTTAAATGGCATTATTCTCTACCCGACTTCTACTTAGTCTCTACCTGTAATTACCTCTGTTGCTACCCTGACCTAAGCTGAAACATTTTAGTCAATTATATTACGTCGACATCTAACTCACTAACCCAATCTTACTTTAGTTGCTGTCTAATTAACCTTGTTTCTATATTAGATCATTCTTGTATTACCTGATCAATTATCTAAACTTGACAAAACTCATGTACACACACACAAATAATTATATATAAATGCGATTGTACAGCTATGTGAATGAATTCGCCGAAAAGAGTCTCTTCGCTGAAAGTCTTCTCTTTGAAGTTTTCGTAGCGAAAGTGTTGCTTTCACGGTGTGGGGTTACTAGCCTCATGTCCGGCCTTTTCTGTGTGTGACGCGCTTACTACCGGCTAGGTGGTATTAAGGAGGGCGTCGGTCGGGTATCCAACTCAGACCACGTGCATGGCTGGCGAGCATCCTACCACTGAACCACAGACGCATTGGAGTGAATGATATTTAAGCAACGTGACTGGATGGAGAGCAGTGAAATTAATTTTAATGGGGTTATAGTAAGACCAAAATAAGCAGCGTTGATTTAAGAATAAAACTTGGGCACTGTGGTAGAGTGTAATTCCATTATGGGTAAATTTTATTTTGATAGAGTCTCACAGTGTTATACAATAATATTTACTGATGACGTTTCGAGCACAATTTATTGCTCATAATCATATCGAGGTAATCACACGACTTCCTAAATTCATTTATATAGTTCCATTGTTTTTCACTTGATTTTCACTTGATTTGATTGGTAGTATTATTTTCCATATTTCGGGTATGAGTGATGAATCATTCCTATTGCATGTGTTGGGTGTAGATTCGATGAACAAAGATTCAGTAATCAACCTCTCTTTCCACCTACCTAGATTACTTTTTAGAATTTTAACCCTCTCCCACCCTATTGTGTGGTTGTGTGTTAATGCATGCATTGCAATTGCCGAGCTTTTTTCTAAATTACTTATCTTTTCTGGGTCAACCATTCTTATCTTAGCTAAATTCTTATGTTCTGACAATCTGACTATTCCTGACCTACTAGTTTGACCTATGTAGTTGACCTCACAGTCATTGCAGGGTATTTTGTAAATTATATTATTTTGTCTAATTGGGTCCACTGGGTCCTTTAACCTACAGAGCTTGTCTCTGAGTGAGTTTGTAGGTTTGAATGCCACCCTAATTCCTGCTTTATTTAGAATCCTACGTACGGTCTCAGATGTCCCCTCTTTATATGGTATAACTGTAGATGACTTATATTCTCTCTGTGAGGTCAACTACATAGGTCAAACTAGTAGGTCAGGGGTAGTCAGATTGTCAGAACATAAGAATTTAGCTAAGGTAAGAATGGTTGACCCAGAAAAGATAAGTAATTTAGAAAAAAGCTCGGCAATTGCAATGCATGCATTAACACACAACCACACAATAGGGTGGGAGAGGGTTAAAATTCTAAAAAGTAATCTAGGTAGGTGGAAAGAGAGGTTGATTACTGAATCTTTGTTCATCGAATCTACACCCAACACATGCAATAGGAATGATTCATCACTCATACCCGAAATATGGAAAATAATACTACCAATCAAATCAAGTGAAAATCAAGTGAAAAACAATGGAACTATATAAATGAATTTAGGAAGTCGTGTGATTACCTCGATATGATTATGAGCAATAAATTGTGCTCGAAACGTCATCAGTAAATATTACTGTATAACACTGTGAGACTCTATCAAAATAAAATTTACCCATAAGGGAGCAAAATAAGCAGCATTCTACCTGATGGGCATGGATAGGACTTGTGTTTCAAAAACTGCACTCATTAATCCATTGTACTACAAAAGCCTCTCAAAGTGTGGTTTTCCAAATAGCCTAACCAGAGGTTAAGCAAAAGTAAATAAAACCACTTAATATTTCATTGCCTGCGGTTTGGGACACTATCAACCAATGGTCTCCGGATATTTATTCCTTACATCATTGAGGTAACAAACACCCTACAGTTCAATTTACAGTAATCACATAAAGTAATCAAGGAAGCTTGATCGAATACAAGTATGGTAAATGTATTATTTTTAAAAAATGCAGGTATATGGATGAAATAAGCCTGAACATAGAGATACCAACTTCACATCTAAAAGATTTATTACTGAGATGTACATTCAATTTACAATTCACCTTCAATAACTATATCTGCAGACAAAAAGATGGAAGCGCCATGGACTGTACTCTTGGTCCATTTTTGTCAGGCAACTTTATCGCTAGTTTTAGTTAACGGAATCTTAAAATAAACTACTGGTAAATTACTGCTGTATAAAAAGGTATGTCGATGACAATTTTTTAATCTGTCATAATGTTTCTGATCTGAACTGTATTGTGCAAGAATTTAATAATTGTTATCCTTCAATTAAATTGACACTGGAAGTAGAAAACGAATCAAAGATTCCTTTCCTGGATGTAGAGCTGGCAAAAAAGATGATGGGACACTGAAAGGACCAACTAACAAGCTCGTGTAACTGGATACCTATCGGTCGTAAACGAGCCGTCCTCATATAACTTGGTCACCGTATTAAAAGAATCTGCAACACTGATTACTTCGAAGTGGTCTTGCTTCTTGAAAGGATCCCGGCCGAAAATAGACGCCCAACATGGCTTGTGAAGAAGAATGCAGTTCAGTGTCAAATAAAATCCCATATAATAATTGGGACTTCAAGGCAGATGTAGCGATAGGCATTCTAAAGAGGAGGACCTCTGTTTCCCTTGAGAAGGCTTTCCCTGCAGCAACTCAGAGGATGTTATTCTCTGGCTATCCACCGCTTTTAGACAGCTTGAAGGATAAACTCCCACATGTGACCACTCCAGTGTGTATGTATCAGTTTACTTGCTCCTTTGGAGCTAGTTACATAAGTCGTTCTTTACGTGTCCTTTCAAAACCTGTTAGACACCATTAACCAGCATTACTGTAAAGAGGCGGGACTGGTCCGTTCAGAAGCGCTAAAGCTGAACAACAGTCACAACACTTCAGCAAACTAATTCTTCAGAGGCATTTACAAAGTAAACAGAAATCTACCGAAGGCGGTGTTTTCGACTTATTTGTATTGCCCAAGCCATCACCATATGCATAAAGAAGCCATAAGTATGGGTTCAACAGAAACTAGTTCAACATCTACATTTACCATGGATCTAGTTCTGTTAGGCCCCTCAGGTGTCGATTTTTGTTATTCCCTTCATAATTTTCCATCTTCAGCTATAAAAACTATTATTTCGCTCTGTTTCTATGCACACTGCACTCACACATGTCTTCTTTAAAAATTATTCCACTTATTACGCAATTATTTTTATACTAATCGTCCTTATTGACCTATATTTATCTTCCAAACTTTCTCCCTTAATCTTCTTCGTTACTATGTTCTTTTAAAGAATAACTGTAACTATGTGAACTTGTGTATATAAATACGATTGTACAGCTTTTGAGGATGAAATATCCCAAAAGATATCTTTCCTGAACTCCTTATTCTTTTCTCTCTAACGTCCTGATGGGTACTTCCCACGATCTAATCACAAACGCGCAGAGTGTTACGCGTTGTAATACTAACTGTCAGTGGCTGTTTCATATTCGCTCAGTTATTAATTTTTTTTAATGATGTATATTCTTTGATTAGTTAGGTTTCATGATTCCATTATCACAAAAAGAGGAAGTGAGAGGTGTAGGCTACTGTGCAATAAGAATACGATCCGATGATATTAGATAGTTGGAGGCAATCGGCCACAGGAAGCCTTGGACCTAGGTTTCGTGCTAGTTGGCACTCATCAGCAAGGCGTATCTGCAATTGTGAAGGAACTCATGTCCCTTCTGAGATTCGAACCCGCGTCACCCAGTGAGTACTGCAGTCAGAGACGTTACCACTGAGCTATTCGGGCTCGCGATTGACCTCCTGTAGGACTGTAGTGGGTATTTTGATTGGGCACTAGTAACTAGTGTGACGTGTCTAGTTTTTTCCTTGGTGCAGACTGAATTCTATCAGTCAGGTTTGTAATGTGGCCACCATTCTAGGTAGCTCACCATCATGGTGCACATTGATTTGATGATATTAGATAGTTGGAGGCAATCGGCAGGAAGCCTTGAACCTAGAATAGAATTCAGTCTGCACCAAGGAAAGGACTAGACGTGTCACACTAGTTACTAGTGTCCAATGAAGAATACGATCCATCAGCTCAATAGTACATCGACCAGAACACAAGATTCAAATTTCTAGATAACTTTAGGTTGGAGAGTAAGACATATTTACTGACAAAACAAATGAAAATGAAATACTTCTGCAGCTGACTTGTGTATCTGCTCACAAGAACTTCCAGTAATTACTATCCAGCCTTACTGATACATATCATTTCACAGACATTTAATTTTATTCATTCTTTTTTATATAATAGAAACATAACATACTGGATTATGAATAAAAGCCATAGCTTTATCATCAATGAATGCCACTCGCGTTCCAGTTGAATTCGGGAAAATATGCAATATTGCACAGTTATGCTGATAACTGTTAGCGAAATTCCAATCGGATATATTGAAATGAAATAATTTCCCTTGCTAAAAGCAAAAATTCAATAATAAAACATTGAAATACACTAATTAAAGTAGAAAAATAATGGTAAATAAAAAAATGCATCATTTGGTGGATAGTGACTAGTAGAGGGATCTAAGATACTTATTTCGCCCTATTGGGGACTCATCATCTGTAAATGCGTGCATACTCAACGAGTGATAGTGTTCCCACTGAGATTCCAATCCTAACCAGTAGCCTAGTGGATAACGCTTTGATGTTTGAAATAGCAAGTGCAAGGTTCTGATCTCAGTGGGAAAATCATCACTCAATAGGGCTTGTGGGTACACCCAACTGGTAAGTTCAGAATACGACAAAATGCGCATCCTGGAATACACTTCTAGTCACTATCAACCAGATAACATCATAATAATACTTTGAAATAGTCCATGCGTTCATAATGGCAGCCGACACGTCAATAGAGACAAACATTTCGATGCGGTATAACCAATCCAAATGAAATACAAAATCAACTTAAATGAATAAAACTGTATATCACTTCATATGTTTTACATTTCGTGCAATTATTACAATAAACAGCTCAGAAACTCATCCACAGCAGGTTTAAACAACCCTGAAGTGGTTAAATAAAATTTTAATAAAAGTCATTAAGGGGGTTGCATATTAGCACATCTGCTCTGAACAGACCACGAAGCCAGTATTGAAGAATTATTTTCTATGGTCTATCGTATACCTATTGAATTTCCAAAAGCTACTAGGTACCGATTACTCAAAATGGTAATTTTTTGGAAGCAGGTGGAACTGTGGATATATGAAAGAAACAAGATCAGACACTATTGCAGGGATAATAATAATAATTTGCTTTATTCCAAGACAGTACTTGTAATACAGAATGGAATTCTCAGCATTTTTACTGCAGTATTGCATCCAGTTAGTACATTATCAATCAATAAAATTCTACGTAGATTAAGGAAATCTCAGTTCATTATGACAACAACATATTGACATGTCGGTAGCAAAGACAAAGTTGAACAGTGTTTGAAGGTATTAGAAAAGTAGGTGCTCGAATATTTACTGGCGTAAGCGGAAGAAAGAAACAAAGCAGCATATAACGGAAAGAAAGAAAATAAGAGAGAGAAAAGGAAAAGAAAGAAAGAAAATGTTGTACCTATAAATGTTATGAGTTGGAAAGACGAGGTCCAGTTGTTCTACTGACTATTCAATAAGTTATAGGTATCACGCCTAATGCTTTCTTTATCACACAGAACACGAGCTAAGTAGGGTATGGTTGAGTTTTTGTACTTGCTAATGCGAGCATATAGTTTTCTATGTAGGCTTCTGGTTTTGCTTGATGAGATCCACAAACTTAAGCTAGCCGTCAAAAGACATGATATCCACTCCCTCATATCCCTACATACAGACAACCACTGACATTAATTCGACTGGGATAACCAACGTTCAAATATTAGACAGAGGAAACAGCAAGAATGCTAGAGAATTTTTAGAAGCTTGCCATTCCAGTGAATCATGAATCAATAGACACACCGATAAGAAAGAAATCTCACACACAAAGGGTCAAAGTTCAAGTCAAAGAAACAATCAGTTCCAATACAAGTAACCTAGAAGATGTGAAAACACACAAAAATAAACCAATCACGTCCAAGGTCACCGGGAGAGATGACTAATAAACTCGTGAAGGCGCTGAAGATGTTGCCTATTAGGGCGATGAAAGCTTCGCAAATTAGCTATCCAGCTCAGAGAATACAACCACATCGAAAACTTTTTTCCTAGTGTTTCAATTTATTCATTATTTCTCCAACTCTTCTCCACATTACCAAGAATCTATTACTCAACAAATATACAGAAGGAAATGTAGATGCACTGTGGAGATTTTCAAGTGACATCAAATGGTAGTCCCCATTGTGCAACTGCAAGGGGAAGCAACAAGTTGGACATCCGAGGGTGATATGTAAAAAGCCCATATAAGGAGAAAACGAAAGCTCGTGGAAACCATTTGAAAATGATATTGGATAGCTGGATAGAATGAAGATGTGACACTGAGGCTCTACGTTCCACTCGGAACATAAGGGAAGCAATAAATTTTAAAAAACCCAGATTTGCTGCATAAAATGATATCATCAATCTATTTCACAGGTTCTCATTAGCTAACTGCAAACTACCTGAAGTGACAATAGTTATAAATAGTAACATTTCATACTTCAGTGTTTGAAAGGTAATAGTGAAAAAATTATACGATGAACGCATCCGGAATATAAGTATTACAATTTTCTGTTTTCTGTCTTCTCTCACCCCCGTTTTTTCTTTCATAGTTTGATAGTATATAAATTGATGGTAACTTAAACTAAAAATAATTGTAATACTTATATTCCGGATGTGTTCATCTTATAATGTTTTCTCTACCACCTTTCAAACATTTAGGTATGGAATGTTATTATTTATAACAATTGTAACTTCAGGTAGTGGATTACAGCTGATGAGAACCTGTGAAACGGAATGATGATGTCATTTTATACTGCAAATCTGGTCTTTCTTTCTCTATCGAAATTAATCAAGGGAACCAAATGTATGAAATTTAAAAAATGTATGAAATGAAGTTTTTATCTGAATTTTATTGCAAAATTAAAATCACTTACATTTGTTGAATAAATAAGAAAATCACTTGTTAACTTAAATGATGTAATCTTTGCATCATCTGAAGTTGATTGTGGAAAAATACAAGATTCACGTGATACTTTGACGCTATCGCTGGCGGAAGTATTCTTCAGTCCATTCTGTCTTTTGGATGTATTCATCATTTTGTCAGGAAATGTTTTAGGATTAATCTAATGAATTGTTAAGGAGAAAAAAAACGTGGACAATGTAAAGCGATATCTGACTAGCAAGCTCGGTTTTGTATAATAAATGCTGATTCACTTCAATTCTCCTTCATAGGTAATACGTAATACGGTACTATACTACTGATTAATCGATATGAGTAGTTTCCAAGTACTCACGTCAAGCAGTAGTGCTTATTAGTCGGGATCGAATTGATTGAAACGCCGGACGGTTGTTATTCTCTTTTGAGGCTGCACTTATCAGAAGTGTTACCATGTTTGGCTCAGCCCAGAGAGCCAAATCAATTGTCCTATGGAGTTATTTAATTGCAGAACAGGAACTTAGTGTCATCCAGTTTGATTATAAAATCTATTTCAATGATTCGTTCTCAGTGATTTCACACGATTTACATACATGAAAGACTAAGCAGAGGTTTTCAAGGCTGAGTTACAGTCAGTGAAATAAGAGACAACTCCAACACAACAAACGAATAGGATAAGCCTAGTGTAAGCTTAAAGAGTTACAAATACCGACTCCTAGATTAGAAATAGGAAGTGAAGTGGTAGAGCACGTTGACCGCTTCACTTACTTGGGAAGTACCATCAGCCCCAACGGGTTGATCGCTGACGAAATCTCAGCACGGATACAGAAAGCTAGTTTCGCATATGCCAGTTTACGCCGTCTCTGGCGTAGACGTGATATCCGACTATCGACCAAAGGACGTGTGTACTGCTCATCAGTCCGCTCCGTCCTCCTTTATGGATGTGAGACCTGGCCATTGAGAGTGGAAGACATGGAAAGATTAGCTGTCTTCGATCATAGGTGTCTGCGTTCTATCTCCCGCGTGAAGTGGTATAATAAGGTGAGCAATATTGAGGTTAGACGTCGAGTGCTAGGTAAGGAGGGGAAATCAATCGACGAGACTGTGAAATTACATCGACTGAGATGGTTAGGACATGTGTTACGCATGCCTAGCCATCTATCGCCTTCCTTGACGGGCAATGTTAGCTGACATAGGGCCAGGCTGGAAAAGAGCTTGAGGCGGTCAAACGAAAACATGGCACCAGTCAATGAAATCTAAAACAGTTAGCCTAAGTAACGTAGGAAGGTGTAGACTTCCTGACTGGTTGGGGTCCTCGTGACGGTGAAAACCAATGGTTGGAAACAATTGGTGACATGGCTCAAAATCGTTCTCAATGGCTGGCGCAGATGCATCCACTCCTTGTGACTTATGATTTCCAATGAAACTGTTTTGTTCTTCGTTATTACTATTCCTTTGTCTCACACCTCTGTTTACTGTCTATATTATGCATTTCTCCTACTTTCTTCTGTCGCTTTGTGTGCCAGAAGGAGTGGAGTTTGGCGACTTGAACTGACGCACATATGTGCAAAGTTCTATGTCGAAAACAGACAGACAGACAGAGTTACAAATATTGATAATAGGGTGATGTGAACCAAAAGTTATTTGAAAGGCAAAGGCAGAGAAATAGTTATAAGACATTAAAACATGCGATTATTTCAACTATCTTATAGTAGACAGTTTATTATTATGTATACAAACATTGATGTGGTCATCATCGCTAACTTATTTTTGGTGGTTTGACTGAGAAAGTGATATGTAATTATGCGGTTCCGAATTTCCTTTCAATAGTAATTGCTCAGCCTATGATTTAATATATCACTAAGTATGTCACCCTTGAACGGCACTTTTAGGGTTAAGCTTCTCCTTCTTACTCACCGTATAAGGCTTTATTTTATTATTTCTCCTGAATATATATACTTTTTTACGAAATTTTCAGGATAACTATTTCATAACAGGATAGTCTTAAGATTCTCTGTCTCTTCACCATTAAAATACATGAGACAGTGAATTAGATTATCTTTGTCATGTATAGAGTACTAAGCTATAGAGTTGGATAATATTGTCCATCCACAGCAGCTTTCATGAAGACGTATCCTCTGATAGACCCGTCCATTCTTCTGATAAGAATAAAATACGAAAATGAAATGCTGTCTTGATATTCTTCTTCGCAAATGAATTTAACAGCCGGATGAATATTACTGAAGAACTGGAGTATATCCCATTTATTAGGCTTCTTACGAACTTATTTTAAGACGTACAACGAATGTTCATTTCTTATTCAATAAGGAATATTATAGACAAATTGATGATGTAGCTATGGGTTCCCCATTAGGTCCAATCCTAGCTGATTTTTTCCTCTCTAAATTAGAGAATGGACCACTGAAAGGAGTGATTAATAACATGGATTTCTACTGTCGATATATGGATGATACATTTGTGGTTATGAAAGACGAGAATGATGCAATGAACATCCTTGACAAGTTTAATGATGCACATTCAGCAATAAACTTTACCATAGAGAAAGATAGTAATGACAGTATCTCATTCCTAGACGTCTTCATGGCAAGGAAAGAAGATGGCTCACTAAGAAGGAGTGTGTATAGGAAACCTATAACAACAGGTCAGTACACTCATTTTTTGAGTTTTGTACCTTTGAAATTTAAACGTAACCTGGTAAAGTGTCTGGTTCATAGAGCTAAGTTAATCTGTCTCAATGAGGAGCTTAAGATTATTAGAGAATTACTTAGAAAAAATGGTTATCCAGATAAGTTCATTGAGAAAAATATGAATTCAGCACCAAGGAGAGTCTGCATGGCTACAGTTCCAAAAAACCAGTGTTCATAAAATTGCAGTTCCTCGGAGACAACATCAGCGAAATCATAAAACAGCGCCTGAAGAATGCACTTAAAAGAGCTTACTATGCAGCAGAAGTACGTTGTCTCTTCACGATCACCCCTATTCTATGTTTGAGAAATAAGGATAAACTACCTAAATTTGCCTCTTCTATGTGTATCTACCAGTTTCACTGCGACTGCGGAGCCAGCTACATTGGGCGTACAATTAGGCAGGTTCATCATCGTATTTCCGAACATCATCTGGCATGGTTAAGCAAGGGACAAACAAGATCTATTCGAAGTTCTATTTCAGCACACCTTGTTGATACTGAGTATAAGGTTGATGTTAATACTGCATTTAAAATTATTTATCACATTCCGACTAATCTTAATTTTGCTCTAAGAGTTCGTCTTCTACAGACAGCTGAAGCAATCGGAATCCACCTAAAGAAGCCAAGCCTTTGTGTTCAGAAGAAATTTGTACAGCCACTTTGCTTACCGTGGCCATCGTTACAAGACAGGACTACGTCACCGCCCTCCCCCTAAACATTTAAAAATTATAAAAATTATAATTGTCCAAATTATTTTATTTTTATTTATTTTCACCACTTCATCTTTAATTACGTGTTATCCTTGTAAAATTAATTTATTGTGACCATTTCTACCTTTTAAATGTGCATTGATTTTCTTCATTAATTATCAACCCATTGACATTTTGACACTGTTTAATTATTGTCAACAAACATATCGCCACTTGTTTGGTAAACTGTTGTGTATTGTAATAAAAATGCTATGGATATATATTAGAGTAGAGCCAGAGATGAGGATCTAATTGAAGAGTAAATATTTCTTAGCTCAATCTTTCTGTTTTCTAAATGTCTAAATGGGGATTTTTTCTATATTGAAATCCCATGTTTATCGCATATTCATAATCAAAACATTCATATCTATAGCTTGGATGTCCTACTCACTATTTAGTAAGAAACAAAACTACCACTTACCCAATGTAGTGTAAGTTTACCGTCTGGTCCACAAGCAGCTGCATAATTTTCATTTAAACTGATTCTATCCACAGAAGTTAAATAATCATACTCCGATCTCAAGACAATATCTGTGTCATATGGAATAAATAAAAAAAGAGCTGCCGTCAGTTTCAAAAACAAGCGATATATGTTTAGGTCTCATTAAAAAAAACACGAAAATACGGTTGCAGTGAAGAAAAATGTTAGCTGATTCTATAGAGCCAATTCGAATTAAATTTGCAACCCATAGCCTGAAGGATAGCTATCAATTTTCCAAGGAAGTTGACAATATTGACGTATCAGACAAACTCATGGTATCGTATGACGTGACCTCCTTGTTTACAAATGTACCACTGATGGAAACAATTGATAACATTTGTAAACAAACGGATCTACTACCATTACCGGAAACAAAGATGAAGCGACTACTGCTGCTTTGCACAAGAGATATACAATTCAAATTCAACAATCAACTTTACCGACAAATTGATGGGGTCGCGATGGGTTCGCCTCTGGGACCTATCCTGGCTGATATCTTCATGGGTTACCTTGAACAGACACAACTGAGTTCTGCTATCAATGGAACAACCTACTATCGCCGATATGTTGATGACACATTTGTTGTTTACAACGACATGGATCACGCATCGGCATTATATGATCGCCTAAATGAGACCCATCCAAACATCAAATTCACCATAGAATATGAACATAATAATGAGTTCAATTTCCTGGATCTAAATGTGAAAAGAACAAACGAAGGCACGATCGAAAAGTCCATCTATAGAAAAGAAACCTGGACTGGGCAATATCTTCACTATAACAGCTTTTGTCCCATAAGCTATAAACGCGGATTAGTGAGGACTTTGTACGACAGAGCCAGGAAGCTATGTTCACCAAACAAGGTCGAAGAAGAATTAGATTTCGTCGAGAAACGCCTAAGAGAAAATGGGTACCCCAAGGGATTTACACAGAAGTATAGCAGAGAAAAAGATAAGAAAGAAAAACACCTAACTGTAAAAAAAGAAAAAAGTGTTTATTTGTCTCCCATTCAAAGGAGATGTAGTGTCACAAAAGATTGACAAAAGACTGAAAGGTGCAATAAATAGAAGCTTCCCGGCAGCAAAACTCATAACATTATACAGCACCACTCCTTCTATAAGCCACTCAAAACTGGATAAATACCCTGCTGATGTCACCTCCAACTGCGTTTATGAATTTACGTGCACTTGCGGGAGCAAGTACATTGGAAGGACAGAAAGAAGGGCTTCTATCCGGTTTTCTGAACATATTCCAAGAAACCTGTGCCACTGAAAGGAAGCAAATATTCTCAGAGTGCAATTACCAGACATATTGTTGATACCGGACATCTCGTAGAGATTTCTAAGTCCTTCAAAATATTAAATAGACAAAGAAAAGCAAATTTACTACGATTTGCCGAAGCGATTGCAATCAAACGATTTAAACCAGACTTATGCATACAGAAAGAGAGTGTGATTAACCTCTCACTCCCTTGGTAACTGAATTTTGATTTTGATTAGTCATCTAATTCAGTGATCTCAACTCACTGAACAAATCTTAATCTCATAAACTGTAATCGCTTTTGGTTTTTGAGTTGCTATGTGAACCTACAAGCTAACACTGTTATCTTAATTAATTTTTTCTGTTTTCTGTCTTACCTCTCCCCCCTCCTTTCACACTTTGAAAGCGTATAAATTGATGATGAAAACTTAAACTAAAAATTGTAATGCTTACATTTTGGATGCGTCAATTTATAGTATCTCTTCTCTACTACCACTCAAACATTGAAGTATGTTATTAACATCTTTCCCATCCATTTCATATAAATACACGAATGTACAGCCTAGATGATGACTTCGTCGAAAAGAAAATTTTCTTCGCTGCAACTGTCATTTATTCCTATCATCTATATAACCATTGTAATTTCAGGTAGGCTGCAGCTGATGAGAACCTGTGAAATAGAATGATATCATTTTATACTGCAAATTTCGTCTTCCTTTCTTTATCGAAAAATGTTTTCTTTCATGTATGACTTACGTCTCAAGTCTCACAAAGTCGAAGATCCACAAGCGAAAACCAACAAGTTGGCAGAAGAGGCAGTTGACAAAAGAATTAAAGTGATAATAGTGGGGAAGGTGATGAAGATAACTAACTAACTAACAACAACAAGCATCATTCATCATCAACGGAAGAAATCTACAAGAGGTCGCCTCTTTTACTTGTCTAGGCATCACCGTTTCAGTGGATGTCAAAGCCAACCAGAATCGGAAAAGTAAGGCAGGCCCTCATCAACCTGAATATCTGCTGCACTCAGAATAATGAACAAGATCCAGACCTTCAACACTAAAGTCAAATCAGTACTTCTATATAGTTCAGAGACTTGGCGCGTCTCCATCAAAAGCACTTAAAAAAACTTTTATTAACAGCTGTCTTCTTTGGCTGGATCAGATGGTCAGCTAGAAAGAGTGAGCATCAAGGAACTCTGACAACAAACTGACTAAGAACCGATTATTATTATTTCCTTTAATTCCCAGAGAAACATAGGGCTTCAGCCTCGCGTCTCCATTGCGTTTGGTTCTCTGCTAAAGTTTTCACCTGGCTCCAAGTCTGTCCACACGCTTTCATCTCCTCTTCACATGACCTCCTCCAAGTCACCCTTGCACTGACGACCAACTTGCCGCTTCTCTTTCGGATTCCACTCGAGCAATGGCTTGTCTAGTGATGTCACTCGATGGTTTCCTCAGAGTATGGCCAGCCAATCCATCTCCATTTCTTCCTGTCTATTTGTTTCACAATCGGTCCCTGGTTGGTTCGCTCATTGCCACAGATCTCTGTTGCTGATCTTTTCTGGCCATCTGGTCTTGAGTAGCATTGAGCAAAGACAACTGTTAATGAAGGTCTGTAGTTTGTTTGAGATGCTCTTTATGACGCTCAGTGCAAGTCTCTGATTCGTATTGTAGCACTGACTTCACATTGGAGTTGAAAATCCGGATCTTATTTTCATTCTCATGCTGAGTGCTGTTGACCTCCACACAGACCTGAGAGTAATGAAAGCTTGTCTTGCTTTTCCGATTCTTGCTTTGATATCCTCGTCAGTTCCGCCCGTAGTTGAAACGATGCTTCCCAAGTAGGTAGGTAGATAAAGGAAGTTGTTTCTTTCAGGTTCCTCCCATTTATGCTGACTATTGTCTGTTGTTGTTGTTGTTGTCCAGGAATCTTCATCACCTCTGTTTTCTCTATGTTCACCTGAAGTCCTACGTTTGATGCTTCTTCTGCAAACTTGTTGCTTTTCGCTTGCATATCTTCCAGTTTGCGGGAAATCAGACATATATCATCGGCGAAGTCCAGATCCTCCAAGTTTTTCTCGTGAGAGTTCATTTTATGCCTGTTTCTTCATTGTCCGCTGTTTGTCGCATTATCCAATCTACTGCAATCAGGAAAATCATTGGCGATAGTAGGCAGTCTTGTCTTACTCCTGTTCTCACTTCGAAGGATTCCGTAAGTTTCCCGTTGTGGATTACTTGGCATGTAGCATTGTCATACAACTGTTGGATGAGATGTGTAATTGTCGGTGGCACCCCGTAGTAGCGAAGTAGTTGCCAAAGCACCTCTGGATCGACGCTGTCGAATGCCTTTTCAAAGTCGAGGAAGTTGAGATAGAGAGGTGACTGAAGAACCGGTTGCCCAGCAAATATACTGAAGAAAATGGAGATGGCTTGAATATACACTGAGAAGATCATTCAGTGCCAACATAAACCAGGGCTTTGAATGGATCTTGGATGGGAAATGATGAGCCTTTTGTCTTTCTGAGGGTGTTATGGAGGAGACCATGTGAGGAGGAAATGAAAGCTTACGGGCGATCGTGAAGTCATGTAAAATTCTGAACTTTTGTGCAAAGTCCTACGGTAAACATTCAGTTCAAATTTATTTGATAAAATCATATTTGAGTAACAAATTATGCTTAAAACATCACTCAGTTACTAATAGTGTATAACTGTATGCGTGTGTGTGCTATTTCAAATAATAAACTTAGCTAGCATGGACTTATACTCTACTACAGTGCCCAAATTCCACACATGTGGTCTGAGTCCAATTCCTAGACGCCTAAACAGTAGTAGTCCTAGTAAAGGAGAAAAGTTAAGCGTAGGGCCAGCATACTCACTTCATAAAAACAACATCACCACCACTGAAAATTTAATGTTCAAGCTTCAAACCACATGTTCCACTTGTAATACAATAAAATGAAAAATATGTGTTCTATGTGTGTATAATATTAAATGTAGTTTTCTGTGACTGTACATGTGAATAACTGACATAATACTCTGAGTGGGGAGTAAAAGCAATCAGTGGTAATAAGCCAAAATACTGATTTATTATATACTCAATTGCATAATCTCTACATTTCTTTTTTTCTTTCCATCAGATATCCATTAAGCAATGTGTTGACTGATAAATAATTGCACGGAGGATTTCATGATGAGCTGACATCAGTTAGAGAACCACTGGAAAACCTGGGAGTACTGGACAGCTGTTTCGTCCTAGTTTGGAACTCTCCAGCAGTACACACCCAGGACCTGCTACTTACAAAGCGAGCTCGTAGACCATTGAGCCACTGGGAACCGATCCAATGGCCCTTGAATTCTAACTTCTGCCAATTCACGACATAACTGATGTCAGCTCATGATGAAATCCTCCACGTAATCAAACAAAAATCCCTACAAAACCAATACTTGATAATTAATCTGGTGCTCACTAGCGACTGGCCCTATTCAGGCAGTTAACCTGGGGTTCTAGTGGGAAGCCGTGACCAGTAGGGTACAACAAGTTGAAGATGAGACAGTAACTCATCCAACAAGACATTGCGAAATGGTCGCGCTATGTCGTGAATTGGCAGAAGTTAGAATTCAAGGACCATTGGATCGGTTCCCAGTGGCTCAATGGTCTACGAGCTCGCCCTGTATCCAGAAGGTTCTGCGTCCGATTCCGGTGGGTGCGTACTGATGAAGAGTCCCAAACTAGGATGAAACAGCTGTCCATTGTTCCCAGGCTTTTTTTACGGCCAGGATGG